CTCCTTTCCACTGATGACGCACGCGAGGGAGGCGCGAAGTCAATATTGATCTCGGGTGGACTCATGTAGTCAGCCCGTTCGTTATTGGAAATCTGGTCGTCGGGATACAATGCCGGGAATTGATATTTTTCTATCGCTTCGAACTCCTCGAGGCCGCTATTAGGAGGCACAGACTCCTGGTTAAATGGGTCTCTCCTTTCCAAACTCCTTTCCACTAATGACGCACGCGAGGGAGGCGCGAAGCCATTACTGAACTTAGGCGGACTCATGTAGATTTGGCGATCGGAATAAGATGCCGGCAATCGATCCCTTTCAAGACCGGTAGGCAATTTGGGGTTGTCATCTTGGCGCCAGCCTGGGGTCATCAGGTTGGAGTGGATTGACTGCAGATCCGTTTGTTGGACCACAGAATTCTGACGTCCCTGCTGCCGAGCAGCGTCTGCTTGCTGCATGTGCTGTACTTGCAAGTCTGGAGTCACCTGCACCTGTAGGGCTCCACCTCTCAAAGCGGCTTGTCTTCCGCCACTAGAGGTTGATCTCGCAATCCCGGTCCTTCGAAACACAGGTATATGTGGGAGCGACTCCCCATGGAACCTTTTGCGATGTGCTGCTAAGGCTTTAGCAGAGCCAAAGCCCATCGCGGAATTGAACGTGCAGGACAGTTCCGAGCAAAGGTATCTGTCAGCATGTGTGTGTTCATGGATATCTCTCGCAGCTTCATCAGGGTAGCTGTCAAGGCGTCGAGAGCAATCTGGCACTCGACAAGTAAGAGCTCTGGGCGCGTTGAGGTTCCTGAAACTATCGAGCATCTGGGGATCGATGCCCGAGTATCTCGAGGCTGCGTCAGGCTTCATGAGGTCTTCCATATGGGACGTCAGAACTCGCGTTGCCTCAAGGACAAGGCATAGAGGTTGCAGAGAGGTCGCGTCATCGAAATCATGGTTTGGATCTTGCTGTGGCTGCCCTCGTCCATCTGTTGATGGCATGTAGGACTCGTCCATGACCCATCGGACCTGTACGTAGCAGTCGGGAATTTCTTGTACGCGTTGCAACAAGTCTGTGCGCCGTAGTTCAATCAGTAAAGGAGGCGGGGAGACGTTGCGTGCAGCCGTCAACAAGGCATGGCGATGGATTAGTCGCCACAGCGCGGTTAGGAGCTGATCATCGCACGTGCCATCGTCCCCTGAAGCAAACTTGGAGAATTGTTGGAAATGCAGCAGCCAATTCTTGGCGATGTAAGGCTGCAGGCTGAAGTGTCCCTTTAGTATCCGAAGCAGCGCATCGGCCTGGTTGACAGCCGGATCCACGAGATCTAGACTATCCCACAGTGAGAGGCACGAAGCAAGGACGATGTTTCGTAACGCAAGTGTTCGATCAAGGTATGGGCCGGTCTGGCCACTGTCCTTGTGGAGAACGTATCTGAACTACATTAGCAATAGTCCAATGCTTAAAGCGCGCGAAGTTGGAGTACGGACTCTTTAACGGTGAAGTGTACGAATGAGATAGTTCCATGCGGGGTGATCTCGACAAGCGGCTTCGCGAGGTCCAAGACAGCCTGCGTCAGCGCCGTGTATTCGTCCAGGCTATAGGGCTCGGTGCTATACACGACACCGTTGAGAACTTCTTGTATCGTCAAAGGTTGCTCAGCGAACGCAATCCAGCCAAATATGCGTTTGATTTGAGTCTTTTTCACGTCTGTAAGATCAGTATCAAATTGATGCAGGACACGGGCGTATCTGTTACAATTTTAGCGTGCAATTTTCAGAATGACATGATGTACTCACGCTGCTTCGAGTCCTTTTGGCAGTTGCTCGACGTGGGATCGCAACTCGTGCATGCTGTGGATATTCTCCAAGCTCTCGAGTACAAGGCGGACCCACAGAAACATTCCTGAACACAGTAAGCCTTGCGTGAGTCTGAAGCTTATGTATAGGGGGGCCCACCATCCGCTTTCTCAACGATGCTCTCTTCGAGATTTCCAATGTCCACACTCGTCAAGATCAGGTAGTCTTGCTCATTAATGAACTTGGATATCTCGTGCTTCACGTACATGCGAATTGCTCCCCTGACTGCTTCTGTTTCTCCATCCAAGTTAATGCGCTGTTGCTTCTTCAAAAGTCGATCGATCGTTGGAATGCCTCTGCTGAATAGCATGAGTGTACATTTGCTCGTCTTCGAGACATCATCCACGATGGACAACAGATCTTTCAATAAGGTCTGGTGTTCTTTGATCGGACTCTCATCAAGCCCATCGATGATGATTCGAGTGGACTTGAGGTTTGATGAGAGCGCTGCGATCAACTCTTTCAAGCAGGTCGCTGACGGCTCTCGTCGTTTGAGCATATATTCTTCCTGCACGAAAGCAGCAAGATCGGGGTGCTGTGCAATCAATTGGGCCACAACATGTCGAAGTATAGTGCTGCGAGTGTTGCGATCGGCTATGCGAAAGTCACACATGTAGAAAACCACTGTCGAGTACAGCTGACTTTTGAGGTCCTGAGCGAGTTGTACGCTCAACACGGACTTGCCTGTGTCATTAATCAGTTGCTGCAGCCGCATATTTGTAGTCGCATTGCCCACCTGAACCAGGTTTGCCGTGAATCCACAGCTTATTGTTTTTCGACCCTTGCGCAAGGCAACGCTTTACTGCATTGTGGTTCAGGAACCACAAACAGCTTCCAGGGTGACAGGTCTCGGATGAACGCTGGATTTTGTCCTCGTCCAACGCAGAGCCAACGTCCAGCCACGCCAGTACAGAAGGGAGAAGCATATCGGTACGTTGCTTTTCCCTAGCTGCCGCTTCTTCGGCAGCTTTCTCTCGTAAATCGTGGCACGTAGCTGCGATCTGTCTTATAGAGGCGATACTGTGAGCATTCGCCTCTGCATCTACTAGGTTTCGATGCTTCTTCAAGTCGTCAAGGATAGAGCTGAAGTGTATGTCGAATCTTTTCCATGCTGTGTTGAAGAATCTTTGCCAAGCTGTTTGGGGTTATCTTGCATTCGGGTCGACCGTTTCATAAGATCAACTCACCATTTTGAGTGAACAAACGATACGCACGCTGATGGAAGCTGAGGATATCGCAATAATACAGTGCGAGGACGTTTTGAAAGTCTTGATTGCCTTTTAGGGCATCAGCGAGCAAGCCGAAGCGCGGCAAGGCTTCTCCAATGTCGGCATATGCCTGTATCAGTTTCTCGAATGCGTCGATGCTGTCGCTGGCGATCTGCGACAATATGTTAGTTTTAGTGTGCACGGTTCGTGCACAGGAAGAGCTCACGATAAGACACAGCTTGATAGGAGGCTTGTAGGCATCAGTAATGTTCAAAGTCCATCTCTGAAACGGAGTCTCTCACCCATATCCACGGTAAGTACGGAGTGCCGTTGCACAGCACTTCGATAGCCTTTGAGTAGTGCTCCAGTCCATCCAGAAATGGCTGGATTTTGCTCAGATTCCGAGCCTTCTGCCGCGCAGCCAGGGTCGACTCGACATCCTTTGCTGCTCTCCATACATCGTGCAGCGCTGTTGATGAGAAAGTGCGTGCATCGTCGTGTTTGACGGTCTGCTGGAAAGACTCGAATGCCCTCTGTATGTTGGCCAAAGCTTGACCGGAGCTGGGTCCGTTGGACGACATCGTAAACGCTTAAGTTAGGCAGTTCCACCTGGCGTCAGATCAATTGTACATTGCTGGACAGATGAATATCCAGCAATGTCGGCGGTCCATTCCTCGCGGATGGCTCGAGAGGATGTACTCAGCCGCTCGACTATGCGAGGCTTGCAGCGATGTGCATGAAGGCGCAGTCGCATCAGGCTGTGGTCGTCGTGGCAGACGGCACTCGCGTGCCAGCCTCCCACTCCAGCTACTTCAAGACTATGTTCTCGTGAATCTTGCGCTCAAGCATGACGCAATATGCCCCCGATTATGGCTATCTAACACCTTCCGCATCCACAACGCCTGGATGCAGTGTGCAAACACAAGAGCCAGCTGCCAGCCGGGTCGGTGAGGTGCGACAAGTATGCCTGGGCATGATTGTCGATCTCTCCATTACAAAGTGCGGCCAGACATGGGCGGATGGGACTGCGGTATGGGTGCAAGACGACTTGGTAGTCGGCCAGGCTTCTGGCGAGAGATTTGCCCGTCTTCACCGCCACGCTGCAGATTTGGTGAGATCAATTCAGGATGCGGAGCATATCGACGTCCAGATGTATCTCACCTGGTCGTCCTGCGCATCTCGCGCCGGTGGCAAGATGCAGGCTGAGGCCCAGCTCTGCATCGTTCTCTACACCAGTGAGGCGGACATCGACGAAGTTGGGCGCGCTCTGGACGAGTGTAGTATTTACTTGCAGCACCCTCAGTACTGTGATCGCAATGTGCCCCATCGTAATCCGCACAGGCTGTGTCAACCTGGAGATCCTATTCGCATGACTTTCTCCCTCCACGATCAGCTGCTTGGAAACACACTTGAGTCATATCAGAATCCAGCGGACATCTTGGCAGACCTGGAGACACAAGAGGAGCTTAGTGAGGCTCTGTCGCCTTCCGGATTGAAAACCGTCTTGCTCGGCCACCAGAAGCAGGCTTTGACGTTCATGCACCGAAGAGAGCGATGTTCTTGTAGGCAAGCTCAAGATTCCGAGATATGGAGTGTGCTCAGCGGCTCAAATGGCTGCGCGAGGTATATGTGTTGTGTTCACTGTGAATTTGTACATGCTGACGAGACCAGATATGTAAACAACATAACAGGCGAAGAGAGCATCTGCAGACCTCACGACAGTTTTGGAGGCATCATAGCAGATGTCATGGGATTAGGGAAGACGCTGACTGCCATCGCGCTCGTGGCTAGTGATAAGGACGCGTTGAATGCGTCATTTGTAGGCTCAGACGTTACCACTACGCTTGTGGTCGTCCGCGCTCCTTGTAGGTCAAATTTTACTGCAATGCTTGCGATCAAGGCTGACGTGCCTCACAGTGTTGCAAACATGGGCAACGCAATTACGTCAGTACGTGTTGGCCTGCCCAGTGTCTGAGGATTTGTGGGAACGCAGCTTACTCCAGCAGGCATCTTGAGCAGGGCGCAATTTCATGGTGCTTTCATCACGGCAGGGAGAAGGTCACTTCGGAAGAGCGCATCGCTTGTCAAGACCTAGTTCTGACGACATACCAAACACTGCTCAGAGAGTACAGGATCAATGCAACAATGAAATCGCCGTTCTATAGAGTGAAATGGAGGAGGATTGTTCTGGACGAAGGCAAGCCTTCTCCCAACGCCATGACACGTCAACTGACTGGTCACAGCCCACGATATTCGAGTACAAAAGAGTGCTACTTTCCAAGCAGTGGCAGCCCTCGAATCCCATGCTCGTTGGGCGATTAGTGGCACGCCCATACAGAATAGACTTCTGGACCTCTCAAGTCTTTTCGAATTCCTTCGTCTGCCCTTATCTGTGGAGCATGGCACCTTTCAGGAGCTCACCAATCATTTGATCTCAAGGTATGGCCAACAAGGCGCAATACAGAAGCTCCGGCAGCTCATACAATGTGTCATGCTTCGACGGTCGTTGGCGAAAGTTACTCTGCCAGAGCGTCAAGACATGGTGTGTCGCTTGGAATTCGGTCCGAAGGAAGCACGACTATATCAAGCACTAAAGACCAGTACACTTGAGAGAGACTCCGAGGACGGCGATAGGTGGTCTGCTTCGTGCACCACTTTTCAGATGTTCACGCAATTACGCATGGTTTGCAATCTTGGGATCCTCCACGAATTACGTGCACCGAAACAGGATTCGATGGATTACGAAACGTGGACACCAAAGAGGTCGCGCGAAGTCTTCAGCGACCTTGTTGCCGCAGGCAAAGCATTCTGTTCTGTGTGCCGAAGTGATCTTGGCATGGCGACTACAGACGCTGCAGACAACGTCTCGCTGGACTCAGGCCGGCCGCTGATCTTCCCCTGTCAATGGCTCATCTGCAGCACGTGCCAGTCCAACAGCAAGTGCTGCACCTGCTGCAACCAACAGAGTCACCTTGGTACTGAGGTCTCAGTGCTATTGGAGGCTGCGGCCAACAAGAAACTTGCACTAAACAAAGACAACATGCCCACCAAGATTCAAGCGCTTCTGAATGACTTGGCAGTGCATTCAAGGGACGAGAAAAGGTAAACGAATGTGTTGCGTGAGAATAACAAACTGGCGCTAATGATTGCCAGTATTGTGCTCTCATTCTGGACTTCCACTCTTGACGTGATTGAGCAGGCACTCGACAATAAAAACATCCGCTGTGTGCGCTTCGACGGTACTGTTCCACTGGCAAAACGCAACAAGAACATCTCGACTTTCTCAAAGGATCCAAGTATACGTGTCATGCTGCTCACCATCTCCTGCGGCGCTGTAGGGTAAGCAAATATGATAGTATGTATGAACATGCGCTGACTACATCAGACTTGATCTCACCGCTGCCTCGCGAGCATACCTAATGGAACCACAATGGAACCCTAGCGTCGAGCAACAAGCGCTGGCTAGGGTTCACCGCATGGGCCAGACGAGGCCAGTCACTACGATCAGATACATCATGAAAGACACACTTGAAGAGGTGAGCAAGACTGCCGCCAGCGATCAAACATCATATTCAAATGCTGACACGTCATAGCATGTATTGAAAGTGCAACACGACAAACAAATGCTGTCTCAACTCCTGCTTTCTGAAACAAATGAAAAATCAAGCATAGGTCATGAAGAGGTCAGCTTTGCACGAAGTCCCCACGACGAACTCAGCTAATATTGCGAAGCTCCTCAAGAGCATGCTGTAGTCCAAATATCTCTTTGTGCGCAGGCTTTGTGCTTCCAGCAGGAAAGGTCGTCACAAAGAGAATCGACTGCCCTCCTTTGTGATGTTCGAGATATCAATGCGGAGATTTCATCAAACAGTACAGAAACTTGGATCAAATACAGAAAAGTGCATCAAACGGTACAGACAAATCAAGTCACGCGGTATCGAGCCGTGCACAGCCTTTCCACGATCATGAAAAACAGCCTCTTCTGATCTCGACAGCACTGTGAGTTCGGAAATCTCGGAAGAGCTAGCACGTCAGCTTCGCGCGGAATACGGTGCATCAAAAAATGGCTGGCTGAACTAAGTCAAATTTCAGAATCTATGGCAATAACAACGAGTCACCTACCAATTTGAACAGCTGCAGGAGCAACGGCAAGCCTTCTTACATCAACGAGCACGATTGCTGGCTGTCGACACGTGCCTGTGCCTTCGCCTCTTTGTACGCCAGGTACGCGACCAAGTCCAGCACAGCGATAGACAGCTGATCGAGTTCGGGAGTCAAGAAGTCTGGAAGCACAGCGCGGCGCCCATGAGCTTTTCGCCATTCGCGATGCAGCTCGCGCATGAGGTTTGTGCTGACATCTGAGACTGTCACATATCTCTGTTGTTCATGATTCATAACCACGACCTCGATGTGTGCAATAATCTCGTCCCACTCTGCAACTTGGCGCTCATTCCATGCGCGACCGCCAGAGAGCTGGGCTCGAGCACGGATCAGAGCTGCAAGAGCTCGGATGGGACCGCGAAGTCGATCGATTGGAGGAATCACTCCACGGCCGGCGATTGGGATTGTGTAATTTTGTCCGTTCCGCTGACGGATGAGACGGAGGATACCATCTGTGGTATGAGCTTGTCTGCTGCGAAGAAATTCAATAGCAATACTGTACGGGTCAGTCGTCGTTGCTTCGGCGCGAGTATTTTGATCTGCACTGTAGGAGATTGCAAGCTCCCAGATCTGATCCCATTCATGTACTGACGTAGCAGGAGGCGGCGGTTCGCAGAGTGGTGCTCGACATATGGGGCAGAATTGATTGTTCTCTTCCAGATGCCTGGTTATGCAGCGTCTGCAGAATCCGTGCTTGCACGGCGTTTCAACGTCGATGGAGTCGTCAAGGCAGATTGCGCAACTGCAGTCTTCTTGAGGCACTTGAGCTACCGGCTTCAAGCCAGTGGCGAGAAACTGTGCGAGAGTGGTCATGGTTTCGCGAGCGTAGACTGCTGACAGCTCTGACTCTTCTTGTGATGGATCTCTGGGGGCCTGTTGAGTTGTGAGCAATAGTGTATGAGCACTTACCGTTTCCAGAACGATGTAATTGAGCTACCAGTTCTTCCAGGTTGTTCATGCTCGACAATTATATTCTCTGAAGGGAGACAATGGCATAGTAGCTACAAAGCCTTCATTGTACACCCACGTCTTTACTCGTAAACCATCCGTACAATGAAGGACAATCGATTGTACTCACAACTCGGCTTGGCCGTTGCAGCTGCTTTGTTCCTGCTGGAATAGCTCAGCGAGTTCTCCGTGTTGTCTCTAACGCTCCCCAGAGAATGGCGCCAGCAATGTCCTGAAGCGCACGCTCAGTCAAGACTTATGCCGATTTGCTCAAGGTCTAGATCTCCATTCCTGTACTCTCCGTACGCAAGTCCAGACTGCATCGCGGATCAAATGGAACTGATTCTCGCCTCCTGCCGAGCATACAGCAATGTTCTGACTGCGAGCCTCATAGATAGGCGCGATTCAGGTGCGCTTCAACAACTCCATTTCACTGCAATTACATTGTTAGCCAAATGTAACGTGGATGAGAGTATGCGAAGTCAGCCTCACTCCCAATTCGTCCTCAAAATATCCCTTCTGATGACCTCGTGTGTGTCCATCATAACTCCTCAGATGCGCCGAAACAACCTCCACATCCCCTTGCTCGTCTGTGGAGCAGCTCTCGTGCCAACCTTAGGGTGCTCATGATAGCCTGTCATGATCCGGTCCACACCAGCCATGTGTTTTATCTGCTCTCCGAGAGACATCCCAAGTGCCGTGAAGCCAAAAAAAAGCTCGTCCATGTCTAGGGATGTTGACGCACGTTTATGACCAATAAGGTCTGCCATCTGTAAATCGAATCCAGAGAGTCAATTTTGAAGTCGATGGTGGGCCGTGGCTGATACGGCAGGCTGGGGTGATCGTCTAAGTGCCTGGGTTCAGGCGCTGGACGACAGCATGGATCATGGAAGGCCATTAATCTGCCAATTCTCAGCCAATCTCCAGACTGTATCAACAGTGACCAGATCCTCACTAGTTACTGGAGTTGTGGCAGCTTTGGACAATCTCTAAATGTCAACGTTGAATTTGCTGCAGTGCGGGTAATTTTCTCAAAAAGCCCTCGGTCTGGTTCTGTTGGCCCTCCCACTCATCGCGATACCCGCAACTGTCGCAGCTAAAGAAGTACTTTTGAACACAGTCTCGTACTGCTCAACTTTGACAGCTTGTCGGAATGGCTGACGTCGGATACGATGAAATGCGAAAGCTGTGCCTCCAAGCCAGATGCCGAACAGGATTTGATACTTCCAGCTATCTAGACTCTCGAGAGCTTTGGCCTGAGAATTGGATGAAAGATTGTCCATGTTGGATGAAATTCTATGTGAGCTGGAGCGGAGGGTTGTTGTCGGAGTGAAGAGCAGGAATGCAGAAGCCCTAGTGAAAGAACGACCCGTCGATGATGTAAGTGTGAAGCTGTGCGAAACATTCAGCACGACTGCGTACTTTTGAGAACATTTTTGGCCCCGGAAGCTGCACGGCTATGCTTGCACGGCTCTTGATGCACCACCGTGACTGCCCATCCTTTCTGTAGCAAAAGTGCAGAGGAAGTGACTATGCCATATCTAATAATGCAAGAATTGTCCACATTGAACGAATACCTGCCATCCTGATAGATGAGATCACAAAGCTACTCTATCAAAGCAAGCAAGAATATTGCAGATACCAGGGACTCACATGTCCGGTCACACAGATCAGCAGGCGTGTTCTTTGGCAGATTCTCTCTCGTATTTTCCATTGCCTTGTAGAGCGACTAGAATGTTGACAACTCACAAATCTGCCTGGTTCAAGATTACAGTCGTCCAACCCGATTTCAAGCGACGGACACTCTTATCCAATTCGCAACACAGATCGGAGCCCATTTTCCTCTGTCGAGCATCTTGATAGTCTATCGTCTTACTCAAATAATGTCCCGCTTCTTCTAGCACCTTCGCAATCGCGACATCGACCAGATAATTCGATTGTGCATAGAGATCTGGCCCAACGATGTCAAGTCGTGGTCTGAGCCTAAATGGAAGAATTTCTCCCGTTTCCGAAACGAGTGAGATGTTTACCATGGAGACTCGTCTATGGCCTGTAACCGCGTGGCTCATAATGAAGTCCAGGCGTAATGAGGCAAAATTTGGATTTTGAGGCGTCCGAATGTGGAGTTGCCTGTACGACAAAATAGCGTTCTGATCGGAGATACTGTATGAGAACGGCTTCCAATAGTTCCAAAAGACTTCCGAACGGATCTTCTTGTGTTCGTATAGACGACGTGTTTCTCTACGCATTCGATGGCAGACGCGGTAGAGCTCAGAGGGCAATTGGCCAGGCGCATCAGTATTCGTCAAGGCTTCTTCGTATATAATGTCTCTTATCTCCTGAGGCAGGCTCCATATCTTGATCTGTTGGTCTTCGCGGAGTTGCATGTTATTTGACGCCATGCTTAAGGGAGAAATGCTGCGGAGAAGTTTCGATGATTGCGGTGATTTCTATATCGAGTTCATGGAAGCATATGCGCGCAGACCTCCATATATACCCCGCGAAATGCATCTAGCACTTTGGTAGGGAGTCTCAGATCTTAGTTGCCAAGAATGAACAACCACGGTCTTCACAACGTTCGCAAGCAGTCCGTGCTCGATCACTATAGGATCTGGCAGACTCCGTGTAGTTCACGCTACGGTTTGGCAAGTCGTTCACGGCGCGTGTTGGTTTCTGGTATGCGTATACGTCAAGCCTGGAGTTTGGCAAATCCATGAGGCAGAATCTCTGCATCTGGATTCCATATCACAATAGACATACCTTGCACTAACTGCTCCAACCCCCAATTTGCGCATGACCTTTTGATCTTCTTGGCCTTCCTTGGCTTAACCTTTGTTGAAACAGCATACGCGCATGTCTCCCAAACATTCACGCGGCTTCTTCCCCATTGTCGAGATAGGACGTAGGAGGAGTTGGATAGCCTCCCCGCATCCACAAGCACAACTTGGCCAACCCGTGCTTCTGCTGGCATTCCATAAGAGGAGACATCGGGCTAGCATTCGTGCACATTTGGCCTCACAACCGTTGTCGGCACCCTGAGTCTAGTCGTTACTACTCCGAACTGGCAACCGTCGCAAGCACCAGCATCGAACCTGGTCAAGATATAACGCTCATGGCGTCCAGTCAGACGGTATAAGGCTTTGTCATCCGTGATAAGCCACCGTTTGGTTTGGGGCCCACTGCGGGGACAGAAGACTTGACATGGTCGTAGGACAAAAAGGTGGGGGTAGATGGGAGGCATCGGAAAAGGTCTGATCTCAACGATGCGGACCGGAATATGCTGTGATCTGCGGTTCGATGTTTGTTTCTGCACGAACCGAGCTGTAGTAGGACAACAGGAACTGAACCGATAGAAAGTGGAGCGGGGGACCTGCGAATGCATCAACGTGCTTTTCGTTACAGTATAGTTCGTCTATCTAGTTCATGCAGTTCAGCATGTGTTGAACGCCATCGCTTTTTGCAAGTGTCCTCGCGCTCTCTCTAGAGGTTCGTGAGGAGTGGCATGCCGTAGCAAATTGCCATCGTGAAATGCTCAAGGGATGAAGAAAGTACACCAACCGCTAAGCCATGTCCGTCGCCTGGTCCGTGTGACCTTGCTGCCATCTCAGCTGCGGGCAGTCTTGCGCGTGCGCTGTCCCGCTTACGTGCAACCTCCATCCTGACCTGATGCTTAATCGTGCCGTGACTTCGTAAGTTGTGATTGTACCCAGTATTTACAAGTCTGGGTCCTCCTCGTCTGGGAGTGGCATGTTGGCCGCGTCTGCCATTTCCTTCTGGTACTGCTCCATGGCGGCTGGATCGACCGAAACCTCCGGTGGTGCGAGAGCTGGTGCTGCGACGAATTCCTGCGATCTGGTCAGTACATGCTTCCGATACCCTTGCTTCGCGCCATATTACGTACCAGAGACTGGTTGCCGACGAGCTTGCGAGCGAGCCACAGGAATGGCTTCTCGAAGTTGTAGTTGGACTTGGCCGAGATGTCGTAGTACTGGAGGTTCTTCTTGCGGTGGAAAGTGATAGTCTTGGCCTTGACCTTTCGCTCCTTCACATCGACCTTGTTTCCAGTGAGAACGATCGGGATGTTTTCGCAAACACGGACGAGATCGCGGTGCCAGTTTGGCACGTTCTTGTAGGTAATGCGAGATGTGACATCGAACATAATGATACCGCATTGACCGTTGATGTAGTATCCATCACGGAGACCACCGAACTTCTCTTGACCGGCGGTGTCCCACACATCGAACTGGATCTGGCCCAGGTTCTAGGTGGAGAGTCAGTAGCCGCTCGTGGACGGGTTGCAAATCCAGTGGTATTACTTACTGTGGTGAAGCCAAGTGGGTGGACCTCGACACCAAGTGTTGCAATGTACTTCTTTTCGAACTCTCCGGTCAAATGGCGCTTGACGAATGTGGTCTGGAAGATTTGTTGTCAGTATCCTTCTGCTGTTGCTGCCGCCCCTGCTGTCGCCATCCTCCACCATAACAAGCCGACTATCCCGCCAACTCTTTTGCACGCGTAGTGTGACCCACCTTTCCAGTACCTCCGTCACCGACAAGCACGAGCTTGAAAGTGGGAGTCGCCTGAGCCTCTGCCATGTTTGGCGGTCGGTGTGTGTTATGTGGTTGCGATGTGCGCGCTGTCGCGAACGGTGCAGTAATCGACGGTCGAGCTTCGTTTGTGGTCGAGTCCGACGAGAGAGAGGTTATTGAAGTGCAGGAGTGACTGGCACAAGAGCTTGTTGAGTGTTTGCGAAGGAGTGATTTTACGCCCAAAGTGCACGGTCCAATCGGTTAGTTCCGCCACAGTTTCCAGAGGCAACTACGAGCACCCCGCGCCAAGTGATTACATCAGTCTTCTCAAATTCACCTCAGGCATCAACTTCACATGCCCAACACATGCCCAGCACATGAGTAATTGAATTGTGCCAACACAATCGACACGATGAGGTGGCTGCCGACCAAGCGCTGCTGTACACGTGTATTTCTATCCTCTATGCTTTGAAATGTCATCAGCTATGCCTTCATCGCAGCCCGATGCCTAACCAGCAACATTTTCGGCAACCTTTTCACCATTCACTCCAACCTGCCCTGCTTGCCTTTCACTTGGGGCGAACAGCTTAGCAATAGCTTCGACCGTCGTATTTCCTCCGCTCAGGACGATACCAATGTTCGACCCATTGCCTCCGGACATCTCCTCGATCATCTTCCTGAAGTCTTCGTTGTACAACACAACGGCCAAAGGCACAGCTGCGCTTGGCTCAATAAACAGCTTCGCCCTCTCCATAGCCAGTCTCAAAGCGGCCTTGATCTCCTCTTCGGTCACGGAAAACACCCCCTCCAACTTCTCTTTATCCGTAACGATTGACCACGGGATCACACCCACAGGTGTCCTCAGCCCATCTGCGATAGTCAAAGTCTTCACCTTCTCAATCCTCTTATTCTGCTCCAACCCCAACTCAGCATCATTAGCGCCTTCAAAGTTTGGCTCCGCTCCGAACACCTTGATACCAGTCCCATGCAAAGCAGTCGCCACACCCGACAGCATTCCTCCGCCACCTATTCCCGCCACCACAACATCCAGCCCCGTCCTCCCATTCGCACTACGCTTGTGATCACCTTTCAAAAATTCCTCAACCTGTTCTTCCAATTCCAAAGCCTGAGTTCCCTGTCCCAGAATAATATCTGGATGATCATAAGGCGGCACAAGCGTAGCACCAGTCTCTTTGATGACATCTGCCACCACAGCTTCCCTCTCATCAGAAGTCGAGCCTGAGAATATGACATTCGCGCCATGTGATTTCGTTCCGGCGATCTTGCTCGGCGTGCTAATTCCAGGCATGACAATGTGCGCGGGAACTCCATGAGTCTTTGCCGCAAGAGCGAGTGCTTGAGCGTGGTTACCTACCTTTTCGCATCAGCATGGTTTACATTTCTCAGTTAGACAATATACGACACGACCTACCACTACTATGCGTCACAACTCCCCTCTTCCTCACATTCTCCAAGCCATCCTCCTGAATCAATCTGCCCAAAGCATGAAACGCCCCGCGAGCCTTGAAAGCACCAATGCGTTGCTGATTTTCACATTTGAAGAACAATCTCACTTTAGGCCTCGCTGTCCCGTTGGACTTCTCTTGTCCAACAGGTTGCCCTTCATCTCTTTCCGATTGCGCTGTGCTTGCGATACGATCTATTGTCTCGCATGTCGCAACTGGCGTGCGGTAGATGTAGGGCTCAATACGCTTATGAGCAGCCTTCACAGACTCGCGCGTGAGCGGGGGACACGTCTTGTGGTCTGCCATTGTTCTTGGCGAAAAATTGGGGATTGTTTAGAGGAGATGGAAAGTGGTGACCTGTTTCTATGTAGGAATGGAAGTGGCATGCCGCTGATGGAAGCGATTGGGGTTGAAAGTTTAGGCTGAAGACCGCCGCGAGCACGAACACGATGTTGCAGGGCGTGAATGAGGTCAAATCTCAGTTGACTCATATACATTGTATGCTATTTCATGCTGCTAGAAAGTCCGATCTGCTGGTGGTATCTCATGCGCTGTGCTCAATGCCTTCAACACCCTAATCCTTATCGCTTCTGATCATACTGGTGTGAAGCAGACCCTCCTCCTGGCTGCCCAAACTCCTGATATCTTGGAGGTGCGGCATTACCAAAGCCTGCTGGGTCGTACGTTTCGCTAGTAGGCAGATAGCCACCCTCGGGTGCCGCGCCATACGTGCTAGAGGATGATGGCTGCGCTTGTGCCTGCTTCCTGTATTCGGCCTCCATCCTCTTCTTCTCGTCGTCAGTAAGATCTCCGCCGTCGCCACCTCCAACGACCACCTCGCCACCACCGCGCACCTTGCCGATCACCATGCCCTTCGCTACGGACTTGATGACTGCTTTTCGCGACACACCGGTCACATCGATGTAGACGAGACCAACATTCTTGACACCGCCTGCAAGCTCGCCAGCGATCGATCCAGCTTCCGCGCCCCACCGATGTCCTACCATTGTACTTGCAGCTGCCCCACTACTATTCAATAGCGTCATGCCACTTGTTGCTATGCCGTCCATCACTGTTGTGAATGCAATCATGCTCTTGTTCAAAATGCCTGGCTTGTAATCATTCTTGTCGAGAGGATTGCCCTTCTCGTCGTAACCCTTGTGGGATCGGTCTTTCTTGTGCCCGCTGGCCTTTGCAGTGAAGTTCTGGATATGGTTGCCAATCTGTCCAATTGTCTTGCTCGAGGTCGAAGCGACGCTGGTAGTGAACGTGTTCACTTTTCGTGCTCGCTGATGGGTTGCCGGTTTGAATTCGACAGGCTTGGCCACTGGTTTCGTGCTCCTGGTAAAGTTCTCTGCGCCTTTCGTGAACCAATTGCCAACGAACGATGACGAAGTCACGAGTAGACGGGACGCTGTCGCGGCATTCTGGACGATGCTGCTGTCCTTGTAGGCTGGGTGTCGGGCCATGCGCAGGTAGTCCTCAGACACTGGCCGAACCTCGATCCTCTTGCCATCCTCGCTGATCTGCACTTCGACGGGATCTTTCGAGCCTGGCTTGAGCTTCGAATCTTCAATGATCTGTGCATCACCTGCTACTTCACCCACTACGCTGCCATTGTCCTCGTCGATCAGCACAATCTCGCCATGTTTCTTGCCGTAGACATCATCGTGGGCAAATTGTCCTCCTGGCGCGTAGTCTTGGGGATTGTAGACGCCTCCCTTCTCGCTCTTCTGTGCTGGGTTCGGGGGTTTCGCGCGCTCGAGGAATGCAGTACACTGGGCGAGGATCGTTTCGAACGTGTCTACATCGTCTTGGGTGACGCCGCTGCCAATCTTGGGAAACTCGATGCGGGTGAAGGCGCCGGCGCCTGGGCCCATATCCCATCTTGGGATCAGATAGCTGGTAGGCGGCTGGTGATAGACTTGCGTCGTTGCGGGAAGTGGTAGGTCAAGCTCCGGGGGCAGGTTCAAGTGCAGGTAGAAGTCCTGGTCTGGAGTGCCGCCTGCTGTAGTGGGGTCTGCGAAGGCTGAAGCGGTGGGCACCATGAGCAACGAGAGTGTCTGTGGGCCCGATGGGCAGAGATCCTGCTCTTGTCCATCCTGGATGTGGTAGGCCTTGATGCCCTTGATTGCGTAGAGCAGCTTGGGATCATCGTGCGAAGCCATGCTGCAATGCCGTCTGCTTGTCAGTGTTGGTCGCAAGTGTCGAGTGTCGTGGATTCGAAGCGCCGGGCTGCTTCACTCAAGAACAGAGAAGCGCTGGCTGGCGACGTGAGTGGCAGGTGCGAGCAAATAACGGTAACACAGAAAAGTTGGCAGCAGCAATGCATGGCGCATCGTGATATACGCGCATCACACCCACCAAGCTCCGTCCAGCAAATCACCACAACGCTTTGCCGCTCGAGGCAGCATTGTGGAGGGGTGGCACACACCGTTACATGCGAAGCTGAGGATACGTCAGAGAGCTGAGGCTGAGTCTCTTGTGCCCGTCACGTGAGGATCTAGAAAGGAGGCTGTTCTGTCCTGTCCTGTCTTGTATCCTAGTCTATTCTATCCCTCTTCCCGCCTCATCACCCGCGAGTCCATGCCATCCTTTGGCATTCCACGTGGAGCGAAAACGATGCGACAAAGGTGATGCCCGCTAGAAACAGCTTGGCGACTAATGTTGGTCCCGATGCATCGCCACACTTGGCATTGTCACTACGGCGGCAAAGCCTTTCAAACCAGACTACTCGCCTGTTGCTTGACTGAGCTCATGTGCACTCGTGCAACTGTGCCGTGATGGACTGATTTCTCGTGGCAAGAGCGGCATAGGCAGCAGAAAGAGCAGCAGCCCCATTGGACACGACACTGTACGTGCGGTAGATATCGTGGCGGGATGTCTCTCGGGTGGAGGAAAGGCTCCTTGGCCAGTGTCCGAACGCCTGCAAATCCAACAGACGCTATGCAAGCTATCATATGAAGCAGGCACGACGGCGAAATTTCATCACAGTCAGTCTTGCGAGACGTTGGCTGTTCTCCAATTTCCATCAGTACTAGGGTCCGAAATGGCCCCAAGCAGATTGATTACTCGCCAATGTGCTTTGTGCTGTCCGAATACTCCAGCATGAAGAGCCTGAGTTGATGGTGAGGTGGAATCACCAATGACACAAATAATAAACCTGAACAGATGCAGACGTCGGACATTCTCCGCAGCAGAGTGGTTGCAAACTTCACTGTGTTATGATAGTCAGTAGTGGAGGTCTGCAAGACAAGACTCACCTTGGCCAACGGATCGTTTTCGGCCATGTTTTGAAGTTGCAGCACGTGCCTCGTGACGTTGCGCAGTCACATTTCTGGAATGTATGCTTCGATAACAAAGCAATTCCCTCCTTGCATGCTTGCGGGCAAACGATGCTTTGCTTTGTTGGACCTGTCGCAAACATCACGATCCTGACTGTCCGCGCGGCTCCGACAACGTCGACAAGGCCTCGCAGCTGATCTTTCTGGACTTCCCACCATCGCTTCTTCTGACCGTACCCAAGATGAGGAGGACTCAACAAAACGGCGGGCGTAAGGCTCGACCAGGACCTGCTTCGTCCAGGAACCCCGGCAAGCCTGGAGTGAGCTTCAGCAATGAGCCGCTGTTGCGCACAGGTAGCAACAGACTATCACCCCACAAGACACAAAGTCCAGGCAAGAGCAGTTTCCGGAGCCGTCAGGAACGCTACAAACCCCGGCCTCAAGACGATGATGAGGCTATGGACATCGATATCTCGGAGCTTGGTTCAACTGACAGCGTGTCGAGTGCCAGTTCCGAAGCACCACCGGATATCGATGAGCAGTTCGGGAACTCTGGACCCAGCGACAGGGGAAACCCACCTACATTGACTACACGCTTCGACGAGGATGTAGGCCGAGCACTCTTTCGTGCGCGCCTTGAACAGAGCTCTGATGCCGGCTCAGACAACAATGGCAAGGACGAAATGTTGGTGCTCGGAATTGAAGAGCTCAAAGGAAAGCTCGTGGATTTTGCCAGTCGCGTGCCCTTGGTCTCCAAGACAGAGACGGGTTACACAGATAAGCTTCTCAAGTCATCCAAGGAGCAGCTCGTGCGCTACATCGGGTCGATCGCTATGGGTGGACGAAAAGGGGAAGAAGGGTGGAAGGAGCTGCTGACCGATGCCGAAGCTCGAAAAGCGATTGTGATGGGTGTCGTGGCTCGGGCCCTGAAAGAACATGTCTTTGGTGACTATTTGTTCGGAGCAGACGATGAGCTGCGGGAGAAGCTGGAGAGCATTGATACGAGCGGCACTACGCATGATGGTGAGCCATGCTATGCTTTTCCACACTTCAGCCACTAATATGTCCATAGGCTTCGTGCGCACTCAAGAGCGCGCGACATTGGTGAACCAGAACCGCATTGATGCACATCTGTTGGCGCAAGATGTATTCCGGGTCCGGCACCAGCTTGCGAAAATGCTCAAGCCCTTCTGGGCTGGCAAGAACGCATCTGACAGGTCTGTTCGTGGTATGGGCGAGGAAGATCTCAAGGCTCTTGACGAGATTATCAAGCACGCAGCATCGATCTCGCATTTGATCCGGCGAGCACCAGATGTGGTGTACTATTGGTCACCAGCCTTCAAGGATGAAGAGTTTGAGCCGGCCAGCATGGAGGCGCTCAATCTTGCGACTATGATTCGAACAAGCCCGTACGACAAGGTGACGGACGATAGAGGGTTTGAACGAGCGGTGCTCAGGAAGCAGGAGGAGAATTCCGAGGCCATCGTCCGCATTGTGGTCTTCCCTGCCGTTGTCGCCTATCGCCAGTACGGTGGGTCTCTTGCGGCAGCTGAGATCAAGGTTGAGAAGGAGGGCAGCAGGCGGCTCCCACCCGACGTGCGGGACAGACACAACCAACCCATCACTGTTCAACAAGGTTTCCGCTCAAAGCTCATCAGCAAGAGCGTGGTGCACTTGTCGTGGGGCAAGCAGATGCTGCTGACAAAGGAGGCCGGGACTGCAGCGCATCTCGACGCTGTCCGCGATGGGCATATGGGAAAGTACTCGAGGGATAGCGCCAACCACGTGGAATTGCACAAGCTGTACGAAGCAGTGCACGACGGCGCGCGGGTGCGTTGAGTCGCCATGACAGGGAAGGCTTCACGGTGGCAGGCGATTGGGCTGGGTGCGGCGTGGAGTGTCGGGGCGGTGGGCGGTCTGGTGCCGTGTGGTAGGAAGACGTTCTTCTCCTCGATAGCAATGCATTGTCTTTCTTCGCCCCGTCTCGTACCGGATCCGTCGCTCGCGCAGGAATGATGTCGAAGTGAACACCGGGTGCGGTGGTGGTGGAGCACGAGAGCAGCGGACGCGAAAGTTGCGCCCAGAGAAGCGGCGACACGGACGAGCTATTTCGGGCCGCGACTTCTCCGCGCGGGTCTGGCAGCACTTTCCTGATGAGCAGCAGGGCCGGCCTGGGAAGATCGACGGCAGGCGCGCGCGCCTTTGACCTCACTTTCGTCGCCGCCCCGTTTCCCTCTTCCCTGCGGAGCAACAGCGGCGACGTTTTCTGCGCAATCGTGTCCCGGGCCAGCGTCGGCCTCTGTTTCACTTCGCCCGACGACCGCGAGCGCCTTGACGCCGCCTCGTCTGGCGGTTCTCTGGCGCCAGCGGCCTCCGGCACAGGGAGTGAGGATCCAGGCTCGCCTGCTCTCCAACGACCGCACTTGGCTGCTTACCTTCGCCTTCGGGGGTAGCGCTGCCTCTCTACCACGTTTCCCAGCTCCAGTAATAATTGCACTGTGGGATCATGCAAAGCTAGCTAGTCAGCGCCCCGACAAAACCACCCTCTGCCCGTCACCCGGCTTCCTTTCTCCAACACCCACACCCGCGAGCACCACCATGCCGCCGCCGCTGCTGACCTTGCGACCTCTGCAGCCCGCACCGCCTCGGGCGCCACCGCCCACACGGGACAAGACGTCATTCTTCGACCTGCCCGCCGAGCTGCGCATTGAGATTTACAAACTCGCTCTGGAAAAGGTCACCATCCACATCCTGCCCCTCAACTCGAAGGACCCCGAGGACCGCATTCGAGGCCTGCAGATGCCGCATGCCTTGACGAGAACCTCGAGACAGGTCCGCAATGAGGTTCTCCCCCTGATGCACGCCTCGTGCCCCATCAAATGTGCAGTCACGGATTTCAATTTCGATGGCCTGCTCACCTGGATCAAGCGAGTGCCTCCTCACGAAGAGACACATTTGAAGAAAAACGAAAATCTTACCATCACGCTGCACACAGCGGAGCAGACGGTGCCTAAGACAATGGAATCCATGCGCAAGTGGCTGAAGATGCGCGCTGACAAGTGTCGCCCTCAGCCCAACTGGAAGTACCAGGGATCTGCAGCGCAGAACAAGATCGGAGCTGATCTGCGGCGGCGCACGAAAAGAATGACCGAGGTGGGAAAGCAGAAGGAGATGCTCAAGATCTTACAGGCTCTGAACATCGCATTGCCGAATGGTCTTCTTCCCGATCCAGACGACGAGGCTTCTCGATCAAGCTCGCAGCCCGCGGCGGATTCTCAGGAGCCAGGGCGGAGCGGCAGCGACTGAGCTACCCCAGAGGATTCTTGTTCTAAGTCACCAGGACGAGTTCAACATGCACGGAATTTTGCTCTAGGTCAAGTTCTGATGCGGCTTCCGGCGTGTATCAAGCCTACAGGGCATCATTGGATCAGTTTGCCAGGTACGACTAGTGTCTTCTTGAAAACCTACTTCCAAGACGAGACTAGGCATCGACAGTATGTCCGATCGACTGCCAGGATTATTTTGGTTCATGGCGTCTTGGGACAGCCTGTGCAGTGGGGCTCGAAGTTGTCAAGCTTACATGCAGGAGCCCAAGTCCAACCAGAGCATTAGGCTATCTGATCACGCATTCGGCATTTTTATTTCGACAAAGGCCTCGTACAGTCTCGAATGGTCATTAGCGGCAGTTCGAGGCTTCTCCGTGAGCAAAAATATGCCTACGCGGCGAATTCGCTTGTCCTCGTGCGTGCACACCCAGGAATAGAACGATCCAGATTGAGCAGCAACTGTCGAGCACAATCGCCATCCTGTTTTCAGTCATCAGGTCATCGCTCCACGGCCACTCAGCCGGGCCTACTGGTTATCGAAGGATCTCAGGGCTGCCAATCTATTGTTGAATGGCCGGGAATGGCCTTTGCTGCGACTCCTGAACATAAGAATGTTGCTGTGACTGATTTGAAGAAGGCTCGACGAGCATACTAAGCATTCGTGTCACCGGCCGACCGGTGTACATGTTTGTCGAAGAGGTCTGTTGTGGAACGAAACAAAGGCCGAATGTGAACTGCAAATAGTTCAGGCTCAGCCAGTGGGAGGAGTTATGATGTTGCTCACTACAGAGCATGAGGATCGCGAGGGAGTAATATAATCATAATGCCAGAGTGGCTGTTTGTGTAAACTTCTGGACTCGGCCGAGCTTCTGTGAAAATAGTGCCATTACTGTCACTTTCTTCTTACATTCTGTATTTGAACGAACAATGAATCGAGTGACGTGCACAGAGCCTCGTGGTTGAGTGATGTAGGTACTCGCCGACAGAGCTTTGGCTTGGCAGCCGCCAAAGCGCGTCTTCCAACTTCCAACAAGCTGAACTCTGACGAGTTTGCGCCAAAAAACACAACACCACCGACATGATCTCCGAAGAGGAAATACTGGAGCAGGCGGCGCGCGACGGCTCGATAGACATGTATGCCCCGTCAAACCCGCGCGCGCTCGTGCCTTGCTAATATGCGACAGCGCGGAATGGCCTCGCGTGCTTGAGAGCTTACTTCAACGACTGCACGATGTTTGTCCCGGCCAGCTCTATGTCTCGACTTCCTAAACTGATTGCGCCAGATTGTCTACAACGAGTTCCCAATCCCACAAATTCCCGTTCCACACTCCACGCACCAAATCGCCCCCATCGATCCGGAAGTCGTCGCCTCGACACCCCCGCCACGCCTGCCAACCACAGACACCGACGCACCCGACAGCAATTTTCATGTTGGAGAGAGCGATGCCCCAGCCAACAGCCAGAGCAGTACGAAAGAGAACGACGCTCCGATTGACATTGCCGCCGGGCGGCCGAATTTCCCTCCCGGATTCGACGTGACAGCAGACTCGCAGCAGACCGAAGCCGTGCCCTCACCCACGCTTTTGGCAGATGGAACACAGCTCTCTGTCCACAGTACACTGCCGCCGGAACTCCTCAGCATATACCAGTCTTCGACCAAAATCCTGCAATACGACTTCTCCGAGAGCCCTCCGTACACGATTCAGCGGCTCGCAGAACTGGTGCTTCGACCGAAACGACACTACCGCTTCCTCCCCGCCTACTTACGTGCTCTCGATCGAATAGTTTCAGTTAGCTCGCCTGTATCGGACTTTCCGCTACCAGCGTTGCAAGTAGCAGCGAATGGAGGCTTTCTGACAAACGGCGAGGCACAGGTGAATGGCATTACGGAAAGAGATGGTCTCGGTAGTGATGAGAGCTTGGGCGGCGCGCTGCTGACGCCAATACCGTGGCTGCGGAATCAATCAAATATTCTGACACCTACGTCTGCCTCAGACAGCAACAGCCAGGGAGAGCTACACAGCGAGGGCACGGAAATGGTAGACGGACCACACGGGCTTGGCGGAATTGAGACAGTGACAGTCACTGTCAACGGCATACATAGTACTGGTGCCCCTCAGCAGGTTACATCTTCGCCGATCGCCTCGCCGACCTTGTCCGAACAAAGTGACGCCAGCACCGGGTCAGCATCGTCTACTGAAATTCAACTCAGAGAGCAAGGCGCGGTCACACAAGGAGAACTATTACGGCAGGAACAAGAAGCAGGCATTGTGCCTATGGATCCGAATGGCAATCCCATGACGCCGAGAAGTTTGCTTAATCACCGTCCCGGTGTTGTTGGTCGCGACGGTGGCTCACTGGTGCCTGCAATTGCAGAAGCAGCGATGGATGAGGGTATGGAAGAGCAGCCGCATGCGAGAGGACCGGAGGAGATCGGCGATATTGATACCGGCCCACAGAGGCCTGCAGAAGCTGGCGCACCTACGCTGGATATGGAGGCCGCCGTTGGTCGAGGCAGATCGAAGAGTCCTATCCCCGATGTCGCCGACGCCTTTCCTCCTGCTGCCAAAGCAAATGAAGACCAGGAAATGGGTGAACCTGGCGCCCCTGGAAAGGACCCCCAAGACGTTGAGAAGGACGTTCAGAAACTGAAGGAGGCGATGGACGATGAGAAAATGGAAGAGGCAAGAGATGCAGACGGTGATGTTGTAGTGGCTGATGTTGATAGCAATCCAGTGGTAAAGGAAAGTGAAGCCAAGTGACCTGGCAAGGCTTGATTCGATCCTATATCGAAACCAAGGAACCTTCGTCATGTGCTTTGAGATCGCCGAGACTGATGGCAGAGTACCGAAAGGGCGACTTTCTGACTTGACGCTACACTGCTGCAGTGTTTGGGCTGTACTCGTTACGATCGAGGATGGTCCTTCAGGCTGCTCGTATCGGGGCGTCGTCCAAGGCTTTGACAGCAGCAACCAGCCATACACATACACTGACAACGGTGGCCCCGGCGGGCCACTGTCTAGGACCAGCAGTCCTAGATCTATGTATGCTTACTTAAGAGTGAGGTATAATTCCGCGCACACGTCCGCGACACCGCGATGGCGCCTGAATTGTTAATGGAACTTCGCTCCAAGTCCGTACATCTTCATCTCGTGAGGAATGGTGAGATGCACATGTGCAGCTTGGCAAGCTCTAAAGCAGTGCTGTTGGTCGCCCCTCGCTCCCCGAAAATCGAACTTCCGTTAGCGCGAGCCTCGTCTCGACCACTCATCGAGGACATCGGCTCGATTGGCCCGACTGGCTGGGGCCCACGACAAGCTAGTGCAGGTCTCGCATGGCCCCCACCCGGAGTTTCGCGCCACGAAATCCGAGCCTCATAACTTTCTGATCCTGCCACCCGATTCAACAGATACCGAACAAAACCATGGCGCAAGGACAGATCAAGAAATCCAAAGCGCCGGCCCCGAAGAAGTATGTCGCATGCTAGTACTCGTCTCTTGCACACGACTGACACGGCGACCAGCACCCAGCGCAAACAGACCGGCGCTCGAGTGATCAAACCGAAAAAAGCCTCGATTTTGAAAACCCAACAGCTCAAGAAGAAGCACTCATCGGGGCTCGCAGAGCTCACAGAGAAATCTCTTGCTAGCAGAGCAGGACACTTGGAGTTGTTGAAAGGTGGAAAGAAGGAGAAGAGACAGGAGTTGGCGAAGAAGGCGCAAGAGGCGGCGAAGAAGAAGGGAACGTGAAGAGCGTGATTAAGCCACGGAAGAACCTGCAGATTGCTCTTGTTTTGGGCAGGCGAATATGCTAAAGCCTTGATACCCGTAGGTCGTGCGAGAGCCGGCTTTACATATATGTACGGGCCCGAGCGGCCATGCTGGAGGGTGCATAGCTTATCGTGACCACGAGGAGCATAGACAATTGCCGGAACACTCCGCGCATCGCCAGCACAGACAATCCTCGGAACACTCCGCCCATTGCTGGGCACAGAATGAAACGGCAAGGGTTCGGGATAATATAGGCACCCAGTGGCCCTATTGCGATTCGCAACAAAAATGCAAAAGGTTTCCTGAAGAGCAGGGGACCTATTTCAGAGCGACGAGGAAATGCCTGGCTCGGCTTTGTGTGCCAAGATGCGAACAAAAAAACGACCAGGACCATAAAGTTATTTTCAACATCAACTCTACACTACGGAAGTTGAGTAATCTATTGAAACGCATCGAAGGAAGCCAACGCCAACGCGCGATCCACATCGCTTCGCCTGTAACCAGGTGCCCGAGTGAGGCACATACCAGATTCCGTCAAGGCTGCATGTTGGAGTTAGCTCGTATACTTTTAGAGGAAATCGAATTAGGGGTATCCGACTTACTGCTCAAGAACTTTGCCACGTCCAAAATGATCGACTTCTTCGTCTGGCCGGCCGTGTTTTGGGTCGTCTTGCCAGTCCAAGGGGAGCGAACGTCGGGTGCTTGCAAATGCGTATGCCCTGGTGAATGCATCCCGTCCCAGCTGAGATCCGTGGCACCAGTCGGTGTGGTCGCCGATGGTTGAGAGTCAAGTGGTGGATGCACGGTCACCCCTTGGCCCGGTTGCATGAAATTCATCCAGCTTCCTGTCAACGCGTCGGAGAATCCGACCGTGCTCGCAGCCCAGGCGTCGTCAAAGTCCATCGCGTCAAAGCTCGTTACACTTTGCTTTCGCATAGCGACATTCTCGTAGGCTTGCTGAGGTCGTTGCCAGAATGGGAAGCCCGATTGATCAGCTGGTGGAGTCGGGGCTCCGAACGAAGACGCTGAATCAGTGCCGCTCGTCGTACTTGGAGGAACAGACGGAACAGTCACCTCAGCTTCTGCAAAGGATGCTGAAGGGTCGATGCGAATGCCCTTTTCTGCCAGATATCCTTCCACATCGTAGGGATCGAGCCATTCCCCTTCCATCCCAGCAATTTCTACCGTCATATCCACACTAATCCTGTCCTGTGCTGCGTTCTCAAGGAGAGCGAGCATTTGCGGACCAATGATTCCCATATACCAAGATTGTTTCTTAGGCTTCAGATTGCCGTATTCGTCCCGTCGCGGATAGTGCGTGCCTGCTCCGCCAACGTGGATCAGATCAGACGCTTGGTCAAGAGGGTCATGAGGGTTGCCATCGAGAGTGTCTCGCAACATCTTCATGAGCTTTGTTCGGTCTCTGCTCATCAGGGAGAGCCGAAATACCCGAGCATAGGTGGCAGGGTCGCGTTCATAATCGAGAACGAGTTGGTACCCACGCTCAATAGCAAAACGATGGAGACGTCGTGCGAAACTCGATTCCTTGTGCGAGAAGGTCTTGGGAGGTTCTAACGAAGGAGGAATCGTGATCTCTGGCAATTCCACGCGAAAAATGTCAAATTCGTTTTGAGGGTTCGGATACGACTCTTTGTTGTTCGGGGGCATCAGCTGCGTGGTGGTTGCATCGAAATTGGACATGTAATCGTGGTGGTGTTGGTGCCCCATTTCCATGTTGTGCTGCTGTCCTTGCATATACATCGTATACCCCATGCCGACCTGTTGGGCTTGTTGTTGTCTCAGCTGCTGGTGGTGGATGACGGTCGAGCGGTCGATCCAGGAGTTGACATTCTTGGGCTCCAGAGCAGATGGCCTTGGTACATCAACACTACCGTGAGTTGAGCTTGCTGACTCTCGGTGGCTTTCTACTGCGGTCGAGTCTTCTGCAGCACTGTCGGTCGGATTGCGCACAGCACTCATAAGCGAATCGAATTGCATCGCTGTGTTACGCACATCGCGCAGATGCATTTCTGGAAGATTTGAACCGAAGAGACGATCACGATGGTCCATAAAAGTCTTGTTCATGAGTTCGATCGTGTTGGTCAATTCAGACACTCGCTTTCGAAGCCCTTCGAGCGTCGTTTCCTTGCGTTGTCGGTACGCCCGTTGAGCCATCCGAATTTGCGTGCGACGACGATCGGCTGCGGATTCATCTTGCTTCTCGACGCGTGGCCGCCCTCTTTTCTTACCATCATCGCCACTCTGCTCATCTGTCGAGTTTCCAGTACTCGACTTGCGTTTCTTGTTGGATGGTGGACTTGCAGTAGGAAGTTGTGATTGCGGACGATTTCTTGTCCGGGCCTCCATCGCGTCGCTTGCAAGTGGAGAACTCGGCGGTGACTGATGAGTGAACAATCCGAGTTTTCTAATCCTCCTGCCGGGGTGGAGTCTCAAAAAGCTGCAATCGATCGCGAAACATCAGTCAACACTGAAGTCCCTCTGACCATATATTCTCATCATCAATAGTTGCACCGACTCTTCCGCTTACCAAGGTTACGGCCTTAAGTCGCAATAGCACGATTACCCTGGGGCCCCGAAACTGATGGCTGCAATGCTGGCAGACGGCAATTATTGATGCCTGTACGGTTCAATCTTGCTTGGTAAGACAGTCCTTGCACGCAGTGTCATGCCGCGATCGGGCCCTCTGAAGGCTTTCGTTTTGTGGTGATTGTGCAGGTGGGAAATCCGGAAGCTGAATGTTTACTGATCATTAGCCTTCGGACCGGGACAACCTAGGTCCAGATTGCCAAGCGACAACTTACCTTCTAGACCTCTAATGGGCAAGTGCATCTATCACCTTGCATAAACTACAGTGCATGACACAGTTTGTCACTGCATATATACAACTAGCTAGTCAAACCTGGAAGAATCTCGGCACTTTTGCCTTACCATGTTGGGCATTGAATATAATTTCATCGCTTTCCGGCAGGCGCCTTCGACGCTTTCAGAACATTGAACGGCCGATGCGGAACAGACGTTTCTGGGACCAACACAATGTGAGGTGTTCCAGCGACATGTGTCGCCGGAGATTGGTGTCATAACGAACTATGGCAAGTACTTTCGGCTCGAAAGCCGGCTCCCTCCACTCATAGGCATCAGCACTCGACTGGCCTCCACCTGTATGCAATACAACAACATCAGTCTGGAATAAAAACAATATGCGGAAGAGTCAGAACGCTTTTGCACCGAACACCGTACCCAATTCAACCCGTTCTTTAACTTCTTTGCAGAAGCGCAAAATCCCGAATAGATTATCCATGAGGCTTGGCCAAAGCTAAAGCCGCAAATGCATGTCGATAGATCCTTTCCTATCAGCTACTGTTGGCGCGAAGCAATGTCTCCTGCACACGGATTAGCGGTGTACTTACCAGGATTATGCTCATATACGTACCCGAGCTAGCGGGTCCTCCTGGTCAGCGGTGACTATCGCTGGACTCTCAAGGCCAGCAGGTCCGTTGTCTGTCTGTCCTCTTGGGGTCATACCAGGGCGTTTCGGCGTCATCAGTCTGTTGTGATCTGGGCTAGCATCAGAAGTTGCATCTTCGGAGAGGATGGAAGACCGGTTGTCGGATTTCCTTTCGAGTAACGCACCACCGAGAGTCGCACATTTCAGTATGGTCTGGATGAGCTGATTTGGTTTCAAAGGCTTTGACAGATATTCGTCCATCTGTGCTTGGATGCATTTTTCCCGGTCGCCAAGCATGGCGTGAGCTGTAAGCGCAACGATCGGAGACCGCGCCAGCTCGTGCTGCTTCTCATACTCGCGGATATTCGCGGTTGCTTCGAAGCCTCCCATGATGGGCATCTGCACATCCATGAGAACAACGTCAAAGCGCTTCTTCTTGATCGCCTCGAAGGCTTCGAGACCGTTATTGGCGACGGTAACCTTATGATTGTGCTTGGTCAGTATCTTGACTGCGAGCTTCTGGTTGACGGCGTTGTCCTCTGCAAGGAGAATGTCGAACGTCCTTGTATGGTCAGCTGAAATTGGCGCAGCTCGGCCCTCGAGAGCGGGTACCAGCGCGTTGCCGAGATCAATCGGCAAGCAAGGCGTGGTCATATAACTGGAGATACCATTTTCGAGTGCCGTCTTGAAGTTGACCGATATTGCGGGAGCGAGCATGACGATAGGGATGTACTTGAAGCGCTCCAAGCTTCGAAGTTTCTGTGCCGTGTCCGTGTTATCAACGATAACACAATCGTACTGGTCCTCGGGGCTGAGCTCGGACGGCGGCGTCCTGCCGTTGCCGACAACACAAGGAACCAAGTCCAGAGCTTTGATGCTGGCCGCAACCTGTTCAGAGTTGTCAATGAATCCGTTGTCCACAAAGAGCACGTTGTGCTTCCGGTATTGCTGTAGCTGGGGCATGACCCGATGCACATCAGGATCGCCACGGCGGACCACGCAGGTGAAGAAGAATGTACTGCCAGCACCATACGTCGACTCGACCCACATCTTTCCGCGCATAAGAGTAACAAGTCTTCGCGAGATCGACAATCCAAGGCCGGTACCACCGAATTTCCGAGTGGTGGAACCGTCGGCTTGTTGGAAGGTGTCGAAGATGAGATCTAGCTTGTTGGAGTGGATCCCAATACCAGTGTCAGCGACGGCGAACTTGACCACCACTTCATCTTCGGCGCATTCCACGGATGTGTCAGAGAAGATCTTGACGCGAACTTCTCCATGCTCGGTGAACTTGATGGCATTTCCTGCCAGGTTGAGGATGATTTGCCGTAAGCGGAATGAGTCGCCTACGATGTAGTCGGGAACTGAAGCGTCGGTGTCGTAAATCAAGCTAATGTCCTTCTCGTTGGCGCGTACTGCGAGAGACTTGAGACTGTTAAAGACCAAGCCTCGCAGTGAAAATGGCTCCTCCTCCAGGATCATACGATTGGCCTCAATCTTGGAAATGTCCAGAATGTCGTCGATGATGGTTAGCAAGCTGTTGGCGAGGGAGAACACGATGTTCAACATGTCGCGCTGGTTTTGTTCAAGCTCGGTATCCAGTGTCAATTGAGTCATGCCGATGATACCATTCATTGGCGTGCGGATCTCGTGCGACATATTCGCCAGGAACTCGGACTTGGTCTTGTTGGCTAATTCAGCAGCTTCCCTGGCCTGGTTGTTCTTTTGGATACTTTCTCGCAAGTTGAGCACCATTTTGTTGATCTTGTTCTTGAGCTCGTTCATTTCGCCCGATGCTTCAACGTTGATCATCTTCGTGAAATCGCCCTGTCGCCCTGTCAGCATATGAAACGCGTGGAAGACAGTTTCAACCATACCTTCATCGCAGCATGCGTGATGTCAGCGAATGCTCGCACCTGTGAAGTCAAGTTTTGGGCCATGATGTTGACGTCGGTAGTGATTTCTTTCCAGCGGCCGGTGATGCCCTCGACTTCGGCCTGACCACCCATCTTGCCATCGACACCGACATCACGCGCGACCCGCTTCACGGCCAATGACCACGCATCAAGCCTCGTTACCATGTCATTGATAGTGTCTTTCAAAGTTTGGATCTCTCCTTGTGCGTGGACTTTAATCCTTTGGCTCATGTCTCCTCTTGCGATGGCCTGCGTGACGTCCGAGATGCTGCGCACCTGGCCTAAGTAGAGCACAGTAGTCAGTGATCACGTCGACGAAGCAAGCTGAAGCATCGACATACCAGTCAAGTTGTTCGCCATGGTGTTGACATTGTCCGTCAACGTCTTCCATTCGCCTTCAACGTTTTCGACTCTGGCTTGTCCTCCAAGGACACCTTCCGTGCCGACCTCTTTGGCTACTCTGCTGACCTAGGTGCCGAAGACTATTAGCGGAGCTTGGAATAGGCTTTTTCAACTGCCTGTCGCATACCTGTGTGGCGAATGTTCCAAGCCTGTCTACCATGGTGTTGATGGTGTTCTTCAGGGCCAAAATTTCTCCCTGAACCTCAGCCTGCACCTTTTTGGTCAAGTCTCCCTATGAAAATGTCAGCATCATTTTTTCTTGGTCTTTCGCAATCCCACGAACCTGTGCTACTGCCGTGGTGACTTCTGCGATCTCTCGAACCTGTGTTGTGAGATTCATCGCCATGCCATTCACGTTCTCGGTCAGGTCCTTCCAAGTGCCCTCAACTCCGTGCACGGTTGCTTGACCTCCTAGTCTTCCTTCTGTTCCGACTTCACGTGCCAGATTGGTCACTTCTGCTGAAAATTGTCGCAATTGGTGTACCATGCTGTTGATCGTTGTCTTCAGTGCCAAGATTTCGCCCTTGCACTGTGCCTTGACCTGCTGTGTGAGGTCACCCTTGGCGACAGCTGTTGTGACCTCCGCAATATCTCTCACTTGCGCGGTGAGATTGTTCGCCATGGCATTGACGTTGATGGTAAGATCGTGCCACATGCCTTGCACTCCCTCGATCTGGGCTTGTCCACCAAGGATTCCCTCAGTGCCCACATCACGAGCCACACGCGTGACCTCTGTGGCAAAGGTTCGCAACTGCCCCACCATTGCATTGATGGTCTGTTGTAGCTGGTAGATTTCTCCTTTGGCGGGCCTTTGAATCATGCGACTGAGATCACCTTGGGCGACTGCAGTCGTGACCTAGACAGGGATCAGTATAGCTGGTGGTACTGGGGCTAGCTCTACGACGTACCACAGCAATTTCGCGCACTTGGTCGGTCAGATTTTGGGCCATCACGTTTACTGGGAGCTTTTAGCGAGTAAGCACGCAATACTTTCGATCGCAACATACCATTCTGGGTGAGTTCAGACCAGATTCCAGCAACGCCAGGCACAACAGCCTGACCACCAAGTCGTCCCTCTGTGCCTACTTGCTTTGCCAAACTCGTGACTTGACTTGCAAACTCCTGCAACTGGTCCACCATTTGGTTGATTGTATGCTTAAATCTTGCGATTTCGGGATCCTTTTCCGTCGCATGGATAAGCACCTTCTTGCTCAGATCACCGTTGGCAACTGCCGTGATGATAGTGCCGATTTCTCGGAGCACTTTCTGGTATGTTGCGTTGATCTGTGCATTCTTCTCAATCTCTCGTTTCAGCTGTTCTATTGACTGCGAGTTCCCAAGTGTGTCAAGTGCTGCGCGGGTCGCAGTCTGCTGGTGTGTGAGTTGGGCCTTGATGCCATCAATAAACTCTTTCTGAGTCTTAATCTCTTGCGCTTGCTGGTCGATGTGTTCCCGCAGTACAGTGAACTGCTCCTCGGTAAGCTGCCTCGTGTGTGGCTCGCCCTCGTTCTTGGTCAGCAGGCTGTTTACCCATGATGCCGAACGCTGCCTAGGGTTCAGAGGGTTGAGGGCAGAAGCCTTGGGAGATGACGCATCCTGAGACGGGAATGCTGACGACAAAGGCTCGTTGGGGGTGATGGGTAGGGAGCTGACACCGCTGTGCGCTCGCGCTTCGAGGAACTGGATGCGCGTTGCGAGATTGGTGAGTTCACGCTCCAGCGTGCGCTTCTCGATCGTGTCGTCACCGGGCAACGTGATCTTATTACTCTTGATGCCATTGGCGATAGCGGAAGCCGGGAACGATTCTGCATCGAGGGGCGTGTACTGTTTGGCGAAATTCGACAGGATGCTGGCCACTGCCGCCGAGGTCTCCTCGTGCGGCATTTTTGCAGGTCTTTGAGCGCGATGTGGGTGGCTAGCCGGCGGGCATGGCAAGCGCGGCTGCTCGAAGGGATTCTTGCGCTTCGTCGTGATGGTGGCTGTCGTCACAGCGTAATTCGACGCGGGATGTACGTAGTTGCGGCCGGGGGGGCGTGAATTCTCAGCGGTGTTCAGCGATAGGCATGTGACTCTGCTAGGACTGGCGGCGGGGGGCTGTCGTTGTAGGGGCGGCGTAGGGACGGGCGGCGGTGTTGTCGAGATCAAGACGGAGATCGCAGGTGGTCGCTGGGACAGTCGGTAGGCTCGGTGTGCAAGTGGGCCTCGCGAGCGAGAGAGTATGGCAGGGATTGTGCTGTCCCGACCGAGACCAGGTGATGGAGCTGTTGCTCAGGCAGACGGGCGGGCGCGTCGAGCTATTCCTCTGGCATGGCGTCTGTCGACACTGCACTGCACGGAGACCTCGCCGCTGCTCTGCTCTGCTCTGCCGCACGATTCAGGACGGCCGCGGGCATGCGCTGGAGAGCGTGTACCTGCAAGAACGACGATGTAGTGGGACGTTAGGGGAAAGTAGCGATCCGTCAGGGTTCGGCGCTACAGAAACGCCACTTGAACAATCTTATTAGCACGCTGGGCCATCTGTGCATCGTCAGGCGCAGACGACGGCAGACAACGAGCAGTGACGATCGTGACGGGATCGAGGACCCTCGCAACACACGACAAAGAGACCCTCGAAGTGCTGTTTGGTCGCGACCAAGCCTAGCTATTTCAGTTTCCCCCAGGGAAAAACGCCTCCCGTGGCCGCGGTTCGAGTTTGAAGTTGATCGCATCTGTCTCCCCTTCGTTCGGTTTGCCGCAGCTCGCACATATTCCCTCGAGTCCTGCGCCAACCAACGGCGGCGTGGAGGTACAGGAGCACATCTTCACCCATGCTCCTGTGACAGGACCACACCCACACTTTCACACCCACGCGCACGCGTGCCCACCACCACCGTCACGGTCACGGCGGATACGAGGCGTCCCAATCTTTGTGACGTCGGTTCCAATTTAAGCCCGTCTCTCAATATTCTCCAGTGCAGCCGATTTCCGATATCCCTTTCGCTGAAGCATCAGCAACCGCCCCTCGTTAAGATCTGAAACTGCTCGCTCTTCCTCCAGAGTGAAATCCGGCAACGTTTCTCGACACGCGGACACCGCCCTGTGGTTTTAAGCAACGGATGGCTGTGTGCTGGCGCTGCAGGGCTTATTCCCTGCAGCTCTAGCTAGAACTCTGAAACGAACTACGCATACACACTAGCTTTGCTAGTATTCTGCAAGAAATAGCATTACTTTCTTATGCCGGCAAGCATCCCGAAGTGTATAGAGACAATGAAGCGGAAACATTTGCACGTTCACAGGCATTCTACTTTGTCACACCTCCCAGTTCTGAGTGCTGTTTCGTAGCCGCACGTGATCTTTAGCCTAAATCACCCACTGATCCATTACTGTTCGTGGTTGTCGGACACACTAACCTGCGCGGTACCAGAGGCGTGGAAGATTAAGATGTCGGGAAATCATATCTCGAGTGTTGCGATGTTAGCTTCAATCTCTAAATACGATGCTGAGATAGAAAAATGGCCGATGCTGTCCCAAGCCATTGGCCCATTGCGGGCTTTTGGACTACCAAGAAGGGGTGTCTAGAACTGTTGGGAAGGCCAGGAAAGAGGTTGTAACAACAGCCTCCCTGCGCATCGTCCTCTTGACCCAGCTAAAGTCTTAGCTAGAACTTAACCTGCTAACGACATCAGCAAGATCTAGATTCGTATTCGGATCTCTGCTTAGCATCTTGCTGAGCGGCAGGAAAGAGATGGCTAGTGAGAATGAGGCCTGTTTGTGGGTTTCAACTGTGTTAAAAAAGGTCAGAGATTACGGACTAAGCATAAGTGGATGAGGGTCAGACTGAATAGTTCTGGGTGGAACGCTTTGCAAAGCTCTTGTTTCTGGTCGTTCAATACTTTCGGCCGAAGGCATGTATTGACGGAGTCTTCTGTGTTTTAATAAAACCGCGCACACATTTGGTGAGTGGTGAGTGGCCAAGGCCCTGCAGCTGTCTGGCTGTATCAATCTTCGGACTCGATTGACAGCCTTCCAGTCACTCCTTGACTCAGCATGTTGTATGTGGACCGTGGGAAGACGCAAGTTTGGGCAAGAGTCGTGAGCCGCTTGTTCGAGCGCGCAACCTACACCTTTGATCTCTTGTTTAACAGCGAATTTTTGCAAGCCCATTTTTATACCGTTACATCTAGGGATTCTCGCTCCCGTCATTTTTTATTCCATATCCATGTGTTCCCCCAGCACACCAATAGAACTCTGATAATCTATGCCTTCACCGCAGCGCCCTGTTGTCCGAGCCATGCATCATGTATTGCATGTGCATCGTCTACCGGTCCTTCTTTGGCACACTGTCTTGTGGCGAGACCTGGTCACCGAGGCGGTTGTACTCGTCGCTAAGACCCTGGCTCTGCTTCTTGAGGGTCTCAATGTCCTGATCGCGCTTGGCCAATTCCTTCTTCAGTCGTGCGATCTCGCCAAGACCACCAGCCTCGCCCAAGCCCGAAGAGGTCTTACCCTGACCACCTCCTTCGTAGCTCTTGACCTTCTCCTCCAGGCGAAGGGTGTCGAGAATCATGACGTAGGTTCGGTTGAGGATGAGCGAAAGGAAGAGGGTGAATCCGCAAAGGTACATGTTGCGCTGAGAGTAGAACTTGCGAGCCTGCACCTCCATGCGTTCGCTGCCTGCCACAACACTAAGAGCTTGTCAGTTCGTATCTCCGGGAGCGCAATCATTGTCGACTTACGCAGCGCCGCCGGCTCCCTGGTTGTATTTGGCTTGAGCCAGCTCAACCTGGACGCGATAGACGCGATTGACGCTGTCGATAAACAGGATCAGAATGAATATGAATGTGATCTGGTCCTTGTCAACTCCATGTCACTGTTTCGAGGCTATTTGACCGACCTTTAATCCATATTGTAGTTTTGCGACCAGTGGGTTCTCCGATATGAAGGTGAAAAGGCCGCGCTTGACCTTGAATGGCAGCGGAATGATGAGTGTCATGAACACTGCCATCTCGAAGACAAGCAGTGCAAAGACCTAAAGAGGGTTGTCAGTATGTGCATTGAGGCAACGTGGCTGGTAGCTCGAAGTACTGGAGCGTAGATGAGACTAGGCATTGTGGATGCTGTGCTGGCTGTTGGGCGAGGAGAGTTTGAGGAAGGTAGGTAGGTAAACAAGAGGGACAGGTGGTAGCTATATCAAGTACTCACCAGACTGTAGTAGAGCGTCATGGTTGCGGAAGAGCTGAGCTAGTATGCCCACTTCTGGCTGGAAGGGCGGTATGGACTTGGGAGGCTCGGCGCAGCAGGCAACCGTTGCAAATAGACGTCAGAAGGTTTGGAGAGGTCAAGTGGATCGTGAAGTATTCCAAGGTGATGTTTCCTGCTGAAGTGGGATTGTAGGAAGCTCCAAAGGAAAGGCAGCAAGGTTGTGTGAGATGTTTAGGAGCACGAGGAACTTGGACGCGCAAACGTCACTCGCGTCGTCACTTCCCATCAGTCCCCACTTGTGGCGCTGTCTGTGGCTGGTGGCTTCCGCTGCCGAAATCCATTGGCTTGGAGCTTCAAAGTGAAATTGAAAATACCGCTTTCCACTTGATCGCAACAATCTACCAACGAAGTCGCCAACGAGCTGCCAGACGCAGGCATTATGGCGGATCCAATCAACCCTCTGGAGCCGTCGCAACAACTGGCTGCGGGATCTGAGGCCACACAGGGAAGCGCGAATCCGCAGAGCGAAATTCTACCTGGCGACTCAGCCACTACCAAAGCCGAGAAGATCGAGCGGCACGGGGACTTGAATGGACAGACGCATCTCGGAGAAGATTTCCAGGAGTCTCCGCGGAAGAGAGTCAAGGTTGAACACGACAGCTCCGCTGTCAATGGAGGACCTGACGTACCAGTCGCTGGCGAGATCAAGAATGAGACAGCGCCTCGGCCAGAACGACAGAAAGGCGTGGCACCTATCAAAAAGGAATACCTGATCGATGTCTCGAGTCTGCAGTGGACAAATGCTTCGTACGATGACGATGCTGCAGAGGCAGGTGGTAAGTCAGAAGTACAACCCGTAGCTGGTCGTGGCGGCAAGAAGAGCAAACAGGGACAGAACAAGGGTCGCAATTTTGGAAGTTCGCGAGATGCAATTGCTCTATGCAGGACCAGGCACTGGGCGAACGAGTTTGATCCTGTCAATTGCCCATATGGAGATAAATGCAGGATGGAGCACGACATTCGCAAATATCTGAAAGAAGGTAAGCGAGAAGACATGCAAACGTTCAATGGCAAATGCCCGATCTTCGAAACCAAGGGAAAGTGCAAGGACGGGTGGAAATGTCGGTGGGCTAGCAGTCACTCAAAGGAGATCGACCGAGAAGACGGGCGGAAGGAGCTGGTGCAAGCACACAGCGAGGGGAGCAATGGCAACCAAGGTGCGCCAGACCAGGCTGCAGATGAAGATGAGCAAGACGGTGCTGGAGTCGTGAATGTTTTGAGTAACGCCGACAAGATCACTCTCCGGAAGAAGAAGTGGCCAACTCCAAAGTCGGAGACATATTTGAAGTGGCTCAACAGCCAACTTGGCGAGGACGGGAACAAAATCAGAGAAGATCAAGAAGAGAATCGTGCGATGTATACTGAGCCTCCACTTCGTCCATCGGAGAAGCGACGCATCTACTACGGACCCGAGACACCGGTATTGGCACCTTTGACCACCCAGGGCAATTTGCCCTTTCGCCGACTCTGTACAGGGCTGGGAGCTCAAGTGACATGGTCGGAAATGGCCATGGGTCTTCCACTTCTCAATGGCGAGAAAGGAGAGTGGGCTCTTGTCAAGGCGCATGAGTCCGAGCTCGTCCCGCCTGCCTATTCCCCAAAGGATCCAGTCAAGGATTATGACAACAGCAAGGACATCCGATTTGGCGTCCAAATCGCAGCAAATAAGCCGTGGCTCGCTATCAAGACGACTGAAGTTCTGACAGCGCTATGCCATCAACTTCGAGCGATAGACTTGAACTGCGGGTGTCCGATCGATCTTGTCTGTCGTACTGGTGCAGGTTCTGCCTTGCTCGACGCCCAGGGGAAGCTGGAGAAGCAATTGCGCGGAATGAACACCGTATCTGGAGAGATCCCCATCACAGTGAAGATCCGCATGGGCACGAAAGACAAATATCCAAATGCAACCAAGCTGGTTGAAAGACTCATTCTCGGTGGACAAGATGCCCAGGATGCGAACCTTGGACCTGCTGGCGTGGCGGCTATCACCCTCCACGGACGCTCTCGACAGCAGCGATACACCCGAGAAGCCAACTGGGAGTACATCGCCGAATGCGCCAGCCTAGTGAAGCGACTCAGAGCTAAGGAGGCGGATCTTGCCGATACCGTTCGAGAGGCGGATGCCCGAGATATGCCGAATACACAAGATGGACTGCCGTACTTCTGTGGCAATGGCGATATTCTTTGTTTTGACGATTACAACAACCATATTCAGCAGGCCAACGTCGACAGTATTATGATTGGTCGCGGTGCCCTCGTCAAGCCGTGGATCTTCGAAGAAATTAAGTCAGAGCAGAACATTGACAAAACTGCATCTGAGCGCCTTGGCTACATTGAGCAGTTCTGCCGCAATGGTGAGTTTCTGGCACCACTTTTGTGTGTTTTGCGTGAGACATTTGCTAATCAAACGCACCGCGCTCAGGTCTCGAATATTGGGGAGCAGACGAGATGGGAGTAGGCAACACGAGACGTTTCTTACTCGAATGGCTCAGTTTCAGCTGTCGTTATGTGAGTTTCGCTCCAATTCCCATGGAGCTCTATGCTGATAACACAGGTTCCGATCGGTCTGTTGGAGCACATGCCACCCAAGTTCGGCGATCGGCCGCCAGCATTCCGTGGACGCAACGACCTTGAGACTCTCCTCTCCAGTGCCAATTATAAAGACTGGATCAAGATCAGGTGAGGCGTAGCGCCACAAGTCCACAGTGCGACCGACATGCTGACCAGGCGCAGTGAGATGTTCTTGGGTCCAGCCCACAAAGACTTTCAGTTTCAGCCAAAGCACAAAAGCAACAGCTATGAGATCGAAGCCGGTAAGTTGTGGTTGGTGTCTCACGATAATGTAGCACAGAGCTTCGCTGACCTTCATTGACCATACAGAGGGCTGATAGGACCATGTCGCTCAATCGAGTGCAATGGCGCCATGCTCAGCAATTGCAGCTGGCACTTTAGATAGAAGCAGCCCAGGCATCGTCATCCATCCAGCTGACGAGACATACCGGCCATGCGCATGGTGACGATGTGATCGGATTGCAGGCACGCTTTGGCGATGTACTCGGGCAGCATGGCGTCTTGAGCATCTCCATTCGTCAGAAGAGCGAGGCACAATGCATCTACAGCACACCGGTGAAAGCTGCTATCCTCCAGTAGCATCGGCAGCCACTATTAGTGTCCTTTTGTTTGGACAGAGACTTGGTTGTGCTGTCAGCACTCAGAGCTCACCAAGTGGTCACCTCGAGGTACACAAGTGGATGCGCATGAGATCCGCGACCACAACCATGCCTGACCAGGCCTCAGCATGGGCGGCTCAGTAGCGACAGTCGCCCATCAGGCAGGGATTGATATCGCCATAGTCGTGAAATCTAGGACGACTGGCTGACAGTCTGTTGAGATGCAGTTTGTCCACACACGGCGCATCGAGGAGGTTGGTGACGAAGGTCCACGCAGGTCCGAAAGCGGGAAGCGATTCGTTCACCGTTTGGTCCGTGTGCTTGAGATCTGGTAGGGATCTTGCAGACGTTGCACGCTCGTTTTGCGCCTGTTGAACATCCGCTGGGCTGGCACGGGACGGTGGAATGGAGGGGTAGCAGGTCCAACGTCGCGGCCAGCCTATCAGTATTATCTCTTGACTTCACCACCATGGCTTCTCTTGTATACTCCATCAACTTATAAAGAGAACAGCGCGCAGGTCCGGGGCGATGCGGATCTGATAGGTCGTGCGTCGGGATCGTCTACCGGGATTTGTTTGGCGGTTGGCCTGGAGACCCTGTAGTGAACTCTGTCCAGCCACTGCTGCTCCGCGCAGGCGATCAGCGCTGGATGTGTTTCACCGTCGTCGTGCTACTGCGCCGTGTTGTACTCCTCGATATTGGCAATCCTCCCACACTTCACAGTCCTCCGTGCCAGCGCAAACGCAGCCGGTGCAACGCGCAGGGCAGCAGCGGGAGCGGAGCTCCGTTCGAGGGACAAGAAGCAGGCAGGTGCATGGCAACTAGCTTCGAGATAGCGTGGAACAACGCATCGCAGCTACTGCACCTGGCACCGAAGGAACTACGCCGCCGCCGCTGGTGAGCATCGATCTGTTTACTCGTCCACCGTCGAGCAGACCGCATACCATACCGTCCGCCGCCGCATTCACCACCGCACCCTCGCTCGCCGCCCAACCGCGCGGATTCGTGCTTACTCGTCCGACGAGCAACCTGCAAGACGCACTTCAACGATCCCTGCTTGTGGCACCTCGCCGATAACTCGACCCGCCACCGAAACAAGAAATCCATTGCAACTGCCCCCGAAGCGCTTGCAGCCGACGCGGCGCACGTACGACGGCAGCGCGCAGGGCAGCATCTCCGCCCCACTGGCAAAAGTGATGTGTCGTCAACAATCGCTCGCCTGTGTCTTGTTTGCATTCTAACATGGGCATCGACTCGCGCCGTCCGCCGCTCCCCGCGCCGACTGAGTCCATGGACGAGAACGACACCAGCGGAGGAGATACCGAAGTGGCCACCAACGTCACGTCGCGCACCGACAAAACACACTACACCATTCCTGAGGACGGCCGGCCCATCACCATCTCGACCCAGAAGGTCACCGCCGGCGGCAAGGGAGGCGGCATTGGCAAGCACGGGCGGCAGAAGAGCCAGACAAGCTTGCTGATTGAGTATTTCGAGGCGAGCAAGACTGGCGACAAAAGCCGCAGCAGGCCCAGCGTGCGGGTCAAGGTCACACCGAGTTCCGCGAAGAAGGGGAGAAGTGGAGGGGACAGCGTTCAGATCACTTCCATCGGTGGTGACCGCAAGCCTTCCTACACGAGGAGAATTCCGCTGCCGAGCGGCAAGCAAAGTGAAGCCACCGAGCTGAGTGCGTCTTCAGATAGCAACGTCTCTGCGCATCCGCCAGTGGAGATCGAAGTGCTCAACAACAGCGACATTTCTCGACCGGATAGGTCATCGCGCGGACTGATGTATGCGCCGGTCGAATCAAACGTCTCGTCCATGCCGCCAGACAGCATGCTGGAGGGCGAGAACTCCGTTCTGGAGAGCGACCTCAGCTATGACGATACGACAGCTGCCAAGGAAACTGCGTATTTGAGGGCGCCCCGGAGGACTGGTAGTCAAAGCAGGACCAACAGCCGAGACCGCATTGCGCAGCGAGTCATGGAGAAGCTGGGTGCCACTGCGACCACACCTCGAAAATCCAGTCGCTCGAGCAGCAGAGATTTTGAGGCCGAAGGGTACACGCGCGACCGCCGGCGGTCATCGAAATCACAGCGCTCCGAAGATGACGCTGTGACTGGTGCCGAGTCGAGTCTCCTCTCGAACAGGAGCGATCGTTCTTACCGATCCGGCCATTCTCAGGCCCGCAGCATGACTAACAATCCGAAATTGTTGGAGATGGTGGAGGATACGATCAAGCGCATGATTTTGCCCGAAATCAATCAGATGAAGGAGGACCAGAAAATTGACCGCAAGCTGCACAAGTATGATGACAGTCGAAGTGGGTCGATGGGGGCAAGCAGTACAAGCTTGGAGAGGAAAGTTAGCAAATCTTCGAGCACACCACACCTGGTATCACGACCAAAAGTGGTGCTCAACCGCGATGGAGACGACCCAGGCGTGGTACTTTCCAGAGGAGATTCGGAGCGAGTCAAACATCGCAGATCCAGCCGCGAGCACTCGGATCGACCCTCGACAAGTCGCCGTTCTTCTGGCAGGCATTCTCGCGAGGGCAGCTATGAATCAGAGGACAAGCTGAGGAAAAAGTCGAGCCGGAGCACAAACGGATTGCGGGGTGCTGCAGCAGCAGGTCTTGCAGCAGGTGGTGCTGGTGGTGCACTTACATCCGCAGCATTGAGGCATCATGACTCTCAGGGCGATCTTAGTGAGCGACGCAAGAGACGATCCAAGTCAAAGAGCAGCCGCAGCCGGTCAGCAAGCATTAACGACTCCGTTGAAGAGACTTATACCAAGAAGGAGAAAGTCCCTGCAATGCCTCTCGCAAGCGCAATCAACGACTCAGATGTGACTCGCGATAGCCTACTATCGTCGAACAACGACCAGCCCTCTTCTCGAGATTCTGCAGAGATACGGACTCCTATCAGAGAGGTATCTCGTGGGTCACTGGGTGATGGAACCTCCCCTACTTCCTCCCGCACACCGACTAGGCCAGTCTCGAGACAAGACAAGAACCTCGGTATGAGCCACACAAATCTGCATTTGCAGAATTCGCCTTTGAATAGTCCAGCCCGCGAGAGTCCTGCCAGTGTGAAGAGTCCCAATGGCGGCATATCAAACAAGACGCGATTGGCAGCACTTGCTGCAGCTGGGCTCGGGGGAGCCGCGGCCGCTAAAAGCATTGACAGTCGACATGTGGATGCCGATGGCTATGGAGACTCAGCACCACGGCGGCAGCTTAGCAGCGGCAGTCCGGTGCAGAGCGTTTCGAGCCTTCGCAGAACGTTTGAGGATAGTCCGCTGATTCCACAAGGGCTTCGACCAAGGAGTGCGGCGTCACATTCGTCTGTTGACCGTTTGCGCGAAAGTCAGAAGTCACCATCGTCGCTACGATCGGACTCAGCGCCAACGACGCAGAGGCTGGCTCAATCGGCGAAACACTCACGCGATGTGAGCGTAGAAGGGCGCGAAACTCCTGTTGAGAGAAACGATGCTGCATTCTGGCGTGAAGGAACGGGCACACCTGGAGCCGAAACTGCAGATGAATGGCTCGAACGCCAACATTTGATCAACGACCAATACCGCGACTCATTGGCAACGAACCGCGATTCGTATCAGACGAACCCATATCCCGAGGACGCGAAGCGCTTCACCATGTACACAGACGATAGCTATCTTGACGAAACTGGAGAGCATGACGAGCAAGGGCTTCGAGACATCGACGGTGGTGGTCTCGCGCCCAACTATGTTCATACTCCAGTGGCGGTGGAATCTGCAGTAGCGTCACTCATGGAGCCGTCCACCGTCAGCAGCCATGTCATTTCTGCCACCAGCAGTGCTGGCAAGTCCAATGGCGGCAGCTACAGTGATCGGATGGCTGCGCAGCTGAAGGAGATGGGCCAGGAAAAGTCGCCAATATACAACGGTTCGACAATGAGTGAGAACATCCCCAGTCAAGATCGGTGGGCTGCCATAAAAGGGCATGCACGTAACCTTTCCGGACAGTCACCTGCTCAGAGCCCTGTGCGCGAACAGCGGATAGACGACAAACCCGTTATGACTGCCAGCGGATTGCCGCTCGCGGAAGACCCAATGCCGGAGATTGGCCATTTCGACTCGCAGTCAGATCTGCAGACCAATCCATCAATCATTCAAGGACCACTTGGCGGTGATGCAACAGGAAAATCCACATGGCCGTACACGCCGGAGCCTGAGAGCAATCGCAACAGCACCGAGCAGAAAAATGGACTCAGCAAAGGTGCCATGCTTGCAGGCGCCGCAGCAGGCGGGGCTGCAGCCATTGCAGCAGCTCACGCTGGCCGCCAGCCTAAGGTCGAGGACGACCGAGATTTCGAAATCGACCGCGAGGCCACACCGACCGGCCGCTCGTTCCGAGACGAAGGCTATGCCACCGACGGACGGACGCGCTCTGGAGGCGGGATCACACCTAAAGCCGAAGTCTATGGTAAGCAGGACCTGGAGGAATACCACCGTGCCATGGACGCTCAAGACTTGGGTGACGATGACCCATTCTCCCCTGCTTCCGCAGACCCGAGACACATGCGACAAGTTAGTGGCAACTCGCACGGTATGGATTCGCCTCTGTATGATGCGTCCACGGGCAAAGGAATGGACCGGATAGAGTCGAAAGACATCGTGGCTCTTATGGACCACTTGACCGTGCGGGATGCTCAGCGCAACGCGCGCGACACGGAAATCTTGGTCACCCTTGTTCGCAGCGCAGCGGAGATGCGGTCTTCTTTCGATGAAATGAAAAAATTCATCGCGGAGCAGGACAAGTTGATCATGCAGAATACCGATCGTGACGCAGAACTCACTGCACAGAGGGTTCTTGGTGGCCCTCGTCCGCAGCCAGTGCCTTCGCCTCGGACGCCTCGTCGGCAAGTCAACTCAGAAGAGGACATCCAGCAAAAGCGCAAAGGTGTTCTCAGTCGCGCTCTCAAAGGTCTCACGGGCGGCAAGAGTGCGAAGGATCTTGCCAGAGTTGAAGAGATGCTTATGCAGATTTTGGACAACGTCGAAGATTTGAAGTATCAACAGAACCAGGGCGCACCGCTCAACCGTTCTTTCACTGCAGACAGCATGGATACCTACGAGAACATGCGCGCCACTCAAGATTCTGGCTACGAGCCTGAGGGACAGGCAGGAACATCGAGCACGCCCAGTCAATCGGGCCACTTTCCGATCACACCGCGTGAGAAGCAGCAATTCCACTCTGGCTATGACGGGCGCCGTGGCTCGGACAACCGCGTGAGCACTGTTCTCGAAGAGAGTGATGATGAGTTGGAGCCCCATGAAGCACATGTACTCAATCACCAATTCGAGAATAACGAACGACTGTTGACGCCTACACAGGAGCGACAACGCACTCTCGGGTTATCCCCTAGGAACACACCCCCACAGCCCAATGTGGCGACCAACAACGACCAAACTCCTGAGAAGCAACGTAAACACAAGAGCAACAGCTCGTCGTTGTTCGGCATGAGTGTGCCCAAGATATCCCGATGGTCGCGTACCACAACCTCGTCCGCAGCGCCGGAACCAGCAACGCTCGACAGTCCGAAGCAGACCCAGGAGCCAAAGAAGTCGTTCGATTCCTCTCGATCCTCCTTGGACGATTACGATGACGACAGGTCTTCTTTCCGCTCGAAAGACACCCTTCCACGGAAGCAGAATGCCGGACAGTACGCAGAAACCCGGAGCATGCGTAGCCAAGCGAGCAGCAGATTGACACGGACTCCATCTCCTCTGATACCCTCCGAGGCATCCGCCAAGCAACATGCTTCGCAAGGATATGACCCGGCAGACTCGCCCGTCCAAGAAGACGACGAGGCACAATTTGACGACCCTAAATACCAGGCTCACCGCAACTCGCTGCTTCTGCAGCATCCGCAGCCAAGGCAGGGCACAACCTCGCGGCACCAGAACACATTGGAGTCTCAAGCACATTCGTTTGACGACCCCGCAGGCACAAATTCAGACCTCTCACAGCGGACTGTAAGCGACTTTGACCCATCCGCGTGGGGTTCGTCTGGCACGGCGGGGCTGGCGCGGCATCGCCTTACACAAGTGGAGCCTCTCAGCCCCGTGAGCCTCAACCATCAGGAAAAGTATGGCAATCGCAAAGATGGCAGTGATGCGGACCCACTGGTTCCACAACAGAAGCCTGCTGTGCCTCCCAAGATCAAGTACGATGATCCGGAAGAATGGGAAGAACCGCAATACAGCAACAGCGGCTTCAGCAAAGGCGGATATTACACTTCGCCATATGGCTCCGGTCATCTGCTAGAGCCCATTGAGGAGGTGCGATACAGTTTGGAGACTGACAGTGGGAGAAATGTAAGTTGATCTGTACCCTTCACAGCAATAACTTGAGCTCCGAGGTGGCTGCATTGGGGAGCTGGTGCTATGACGGACTCTGCATGAAGAGAATGTACTCAGGTGGAGCCAGTGCATTATCATGCGGTATGCGAGACGAATGCTAACCTTTGTTCCACAACAGATGTCCCCAGATCCGCAGGTTGCTTCTGCCAAGGCTGTTAACATCAACAGTCCTGCTCGAAAGGGCTTGACGGGCCCTAGACCAATGGGTTCTTCGAGAACTCCGAGCAATAGCAATACTGTCAAGCCAGCAGCGGATCATACTCCAACGTTCAGCGGCACTGTGAGGAGGAAACCTGTTCCCGGAGCACAAGGTACGAATTCGGTCGAGAGCCTTTACAGTCGCTTTGCGATGTGAGGCGTTCAAAAGGATGCGAGGATGAGCATTCACTTACACGCGACTTTAGACTCGAGGGATAGTCTGGACAGTGAGACGTTTTAATGCTTGGGTTTTCTTGCTGCATTTTTGGGATAGCGAGCGAGCAATCGCTGAGGACTTTGTTTATTGTTGGAGCCCACCAACGACGACGATATGATGATGACCCAGAAGCAGAAGCGAAGGAACCCAGAAGATTATATGATATTGGCAACACGACCATGGAAAGGAAAGCGGGAAAAAGCGTTTTGTGCAAGCGAAGCAGAGATTCGTAGTGTGTACCTTTTTCTCCGATTGCTTCGTTCATTGTTGATGGGGAAAATGGATAGAGAGACTTTTTGTACAATTTTGCATAGCATGCGCGCAGCAGACATACACAGCTGTACATATCAAGTTGACGAGGGCGACTTCGCACGTGGTGGTCATTAAAGTAGTCCAAAATCACTTCTTCGGGAGCTTCGCGGGTCTGTTCATTCATTCTTTTTCGAGAGGCCTGGCTGGCCCGGCAGGACTCGCTTTTCGAGACTAATAATCCTTGCTACGATCTTTGAGTCGAATATATTGCCCTCTCCCGCGAGTACGGAGGTTGTTCCGAGATGGGGATTTTCGATGCATGCTTCGGAACGATGTTGTTATCGTCGCTTGTAGTTGCTTTGTTTCCCGTCAGGATCTAGTTGCAGTCCTTAGCGTTGTGTAGCGGTGTAGCAGTAGTAATAAGTCATCGTTTGGATTACTGTGGCGGCCTGCCGAGTTTACATGGTTTGCTGTGGCTGTGCTGGTTCAGTTCTTTACGGTACTTGGTAGTTAGTTGCCGTTCTCACGGACATCCTTCCTGCGATAGTGGAGTCTACAATTCGATGATCTTGACTCAAGGAAGTATTGGAGACCTGGTATGTCAACGCGTGGGGGCTCATCACAATTCTATCAGTTTAATCCTGGGGAAGCATCAGGAAGAAATTCGATGGACGACGGTAAGGGATCAATTGGAGCACTCGCCTGTGTCAGAGTCAGTGCCAAACCGCCCACATTTGTTTGCACCTGCAGCAATGAAGTGAAGCGGGAAATTTCATGTGAATGCACTTTGCTCTGGTTGAGAACCAGGACAGGCGTGTATTGGTGAGACCAGGTCCAAAGCTTGGTGCAGACCTTCCTTGTCTATCAAATTTTGCTTGAGCGTTGGCCGAGATATTGGTATTCACAGCCATCACAACATACCGGACACGAAGATGCCGCTGCTGGAGGACCTTGAGTCGTCTAACAACCCGGACTTGGATCAGCGTTCCTGGTCGCCGTGCTGCGCTGCCAGCCCATTGGACATACTTGGTTTAATTCAAGGCTTTGGCAGACTTCGACGGCAATTGTTGAACATTGCACTTCCCGAAGTATCTTGCGGCACATGCCAAATTCGGCAGAGATATGGCTAGTCGTTTCGTGTGTGGGAAGGAAGGGGCAGATCTGCATTGGCTGGAGGCATTGGTGCATGATATTTACAGGGACGAGTCTGCTCAGCGTGACTTGTCGAAGTCGCATGGCATCGTTGGTTTCCTCACAGCGCTTGGTTGTCCACTCACGTAACTTGCGGGCCAGGTGGATGTATGGATGTAACGCCTGGACGAGTCGATAGTACAGTCTCGATCTCTCAGTGCCAAGGCTCCATACATCACTCATGCTTGGATCATGTTGAAGCTTATGTATTTCCGAAGCGTGTTACGGCCCAAGGCACCATGTTCGTTGCTGAGGGCAAGCTCGTTGAAATTCGGCGGTGTTTCGATGGCAGGAGCATCTTCACGGCTGCATGATGGCTGAAGATTCGAGAGGCCGGGTGCCAGGCAGTTGGAAGTGGATATGTTGCGTTGGCGTTGTGTGCACATACCTTGACCAAGCGTGGCCCTCGAGGTGGGCAGTTTATTATTTTTCCATTTGTCGAGGCATTACTTTTCAGGAAAGCGAGATGTCCCGACCTGAGCCCGGCGCGCGCGTCCACTGCAATACGGGGCGGCGCAGGCCGGCGACGAGGTTGCAAGGGAGCTGTGGGCGAGAAGCAGGCGAGGCAGGGCAGATGAGCCGGCGGAATTGTCGCGACGACGACTGGGATGCAGCATGAAAGCGCACACGCCAGTGTGTAGTGTGGCTTCGTTTTTTTTTTTGTTTTGTTGGAGCCGTTGGTAATGCAGCTCGATTTCTGCGCCTGCTCGCATGGCCGTCCGGATCGGGGTGCATCGAGATTTGGCAGCGGACAGCGCAGGAGCAGAAGGAAAAACGTTTGGACAGCGCGGCGAGCACGGGTGGGTTTGCCGTGAAGAAAATGGGCGGGTGCCTCCACTGTACGGAGTTTAGGCCGACGCTGCGTGGTGTCGGTGCTGGTGAGTGAGTGGTTCGAGCAGCAGCAGCAGATGGGCCAGCAAGATGACGAGCGCGATGGCGGGCGAGAAGCTTAAATGCTGGCATCGACGACCACGCAGCTG